AGCCGGGGAACTAGCCCACCACGCTTCTGGTCACAGTGCTGCCCGCTGGCCAGCTGTGACACACAGCACGAGGCAGGGTGGGGCAGGGGGCAGGGGGAAGCTGGAGTCTTACCGGCAGAGTCACCCTCAATTAACTGGCACCGCAGCCCCTCGGGGTGAGAGGCAGGCCTGGTGCCCAAGCCCAGACTCAGCTTACCCTGTGTTCTGGCACTTCCGAGTGGGGGGCCAAGGGCCTTAACACCCCCTTGGCTGAGCTGCAGCACAGGTCGGCTGTTGGGGAAGTGGGGCGGGGGGGGCAGGTCACAGGCAGGTGACCCAGGTGGGGGCACGGCCCGGATCCCACTCCCCACAGTGGCCACCCAGGGGCCAGACCCAACGCAGCAGGTCTTGAGCGTCTCTCAGTCCCTCCCGTGACATTTCCCCAGGGACCCCGGTGCCTGGGGGATCCACATCCTCACCTTCCCAGAAAAGAAAAAAAAAATTTTAAAAGATTGTAGGAGCCCAGTACCCTCCCGCCCTCACTACCCGGCTGCCCACTACAGATAGAGTTTGGGGTGCCTCCCCCAAGTGGCCAACAGGGGGGCGCTTTGCTGGGCCCACGGTCAACAGGAAGGGGACACCATCCCGCAGCTCATCCCCATGGTGGCCGCGACTCCAAGGACACAAGGCGGCCAGGGGGTGCAATCAGCAGGAGCTGAACCCAGGTTCTTCTGACTCGGGGAGGAGGGCGCTTGGCGGACCCTGAGACAGCAGAGAGGCCAGGGGGCTGGGGCCACCGTGGAGGGTGAAGGCCTGTCCTGGGGTCCACGCCCGTGTATAAACTGGACCTGCCATGTGAGGTCCCGTGGCAGGAAGCACCTATAGACTGCTGGCTCCCACTGCCCTGCCCTGCACCCACCGGCTCCCCTCTGCCCTGTCCCTAGGACCCACTGCCCCTCCCGGCCAGTGTCCCGCCCTCCCGGCTGTCCCAGTCCCCCCAGCCCCCGCCCCATGACCGCAGCCGGACGGCCCCGGCTGGGCAGAGCACAGCCGCCCACCGGTCCCCGGGAAGTTTCTCTAAATTAAGATGCAACCATCATCCCGCAGCCGCGTCCCCCTCGAGCGCTCTGGTTAAAATGAACTGCAGACGACTGGATTAGACTTTGAAGGTGGCGATCTAGATAATGAACACGGAGGATGCGGTGCTGACACGGGCCCTGGCGAGCCGCATTATTATTTAACAGGCCTCGCTCGCCTCCTGCCTCCGCTGGGATCAAGGCGCTCAGGAAGCAGCTGGCAGGCAAGCAGCAAGACCCAGACGGAAGCAGACCCCGGCCCGGGGCACGGCGGGAGACAGGCTGGACCCCCGCACGGCGGCCAGCAGGGGCCCAGGGGGTCTAAGGGAGGCAGCCCCGGGGTGGCCCACTCAGGCCCTGCCCCCCGGCCCCCACCCACACCTGCACCTCTGGGGCATCCCCCCTCCTCGCTCCCTGCACCCCAAACTCAGCCACCCCGACCTCCGACCACCTCCCGCCCCACGCCCCTCTGCAGGCCCGAGGCCCCGTGTGCCTGGTTTCCCTCGGCCCAAGTTTGGGTGGCCCCACAGTCCTTCCACTCAGGACCCCAAGCTCCTACCTCTGATACCACAATCTGCGCCTGGCCACAGCCAGACCCAGGGGAACAGAGGTGACAGGAAGCAGGCCTCAGCCTGGAGCATGGGGGCAGCCAGCAGAGGTGGCCCCCAACAGTGCTCAGGGGAGGAGAGACCTGTGCTGGGCCCCCTGCCACAGGGCAGGTGGCTCGAGGGGACTCTGGGCCGCGGTCACAGTGCCAAGGGGGTGTGAAAGGCCTGCGCCCTGGGCCCCTGTCTAACAGCCTCTTCCCACCTGGGGGCAGGGAGGGTGGGCGCAGAACCAGAGGAGCACCCCAGGTTAGGGGACAGGACAACCCGCAGGGAGGCAAGGGGTCCCTGGGGAGACAGCCCCTACAAGGAGGGGGCCTGCAGCTCCCAGCCTCACTGGGGTGGTCTCGGGGATGGCCCTCAGCCTTGGCAGCACTGGGGCGGGACTAATGGCGGTCACCTCATCCTGCCACCGCGTCCCGAAGCGGGTTAATTCTGCCAAGTGCTCGAGCCCAGCGCTAAGCACTCGCGGGACCAGCGTGGTGTTTCCCGTGACTTACACTCACCGGATGCTATTACGTGCCGGCTGTGGGAAAATTCAGGAAAAATTCCTGAGTGTGAAAAAATCCCAACCTGACAGCCCCCTCCCCCCAGCCCCCCCCCCCCACCATGAGGACACAGACAGCCCTGAGGAGCTCTGCACCCCGCCCCCCACCCCCACCCCAGGGCAAGTAAGGGCTTCTCCGGAGTGAGCCTGGGGCACTGCAGGGCAGAGCTGCCCCTCCCTCCAGGCCACACACCCCACACACCGCAGAGCCCCAGCAGACGCCCCTGAGCAGCACACAGGGACCAGCCGGCAGCCCAGCCCCCTGCCTCCTGCTGCTCCTTCAGCCGGCCAGCCCAGGCGGTCATTAGCCACTGCAGCCGGCCGCTTCCAGACCCTGCGCGCAGGCGGCCGGCTTCTCTGCAGCCAAGCAGCTTTATTAAATGTGCAGGGCACCACCCGCCCACACCGCACACGCAGGCTCTCCATCCCTGGCCGCGGACCAGGATACGCTTTGCCTGGTCCCCTCAGGGAGACCAGCGCCCATCCCCCCACCCCCGCCCCCCACACAGAGCCGGAGAAAGGCCTTGCGGACAGAGCCACTGCTTGGGCAAGAACAAAACCCGGAGCACCGTGGCCTCCAGGTGCCTGCTGGCTATTGGGGTCGGGACCTCGGGCCAGGGCTGAGTGCTGGGGCTGGCAGGACTGCACTGCGGCCATGAGGGACAGTGCCCAGCAGGCAGCTCCCAATCCTTCCTCTCTCCAAGTGCTCAGGAAGGACTCCCTGTTGACTGGCACGGCTGAGCACGGCAGGAAGCAGCCTCCCCCTGTCCCCATGTCCCCATGTCCCCATGTCCATGCCCTCGGCCGCGATTAATACCCCAACGTGCCATGGCCCCAACTCGCGGATGAGTGACCCAGGCCCGGGAAGGCCAACAGACTTTTCCAAGGGGTCACAGTGAGGTGGGGTCCCCGGGGCTGGGTTCCTGAGGCAGAAATATTCACCTCTAAGGGAGCAGGCCGCGTCGGGACCCTAGGGACCATGGCCGGGACAGGGGTAGGCCCCCACTTTTGACAGATTTCCAATCCCCTCCAGGAAGGCCTGTGGCGGGCCCGTGCCCACTCTCTCTCCCACAGGCCAGCGGCTCCTGGGTCTGAGGGCTCCTCTGGAGCACGGCTTGGAAGATTCTTCCTCCAAAGGAACCAGGCCCTTCCCTGGCCATGGCCATATGCACCCACCCACCCAACCTCTGTCTAGTGAGGTCTCACCCTCCCACATGGAGAACACAGGCCGTGCCTCCCTCATCAGACACCCTCCAGCACAGAGAACACAGACCGTGCCCCCCACCCCCCAATTGGACATCCTCCCGCATGGAGAACACAGTCCATGCCTCCCCCATCAGACACCCTCCCGCGTGGAGAACACAGGCCGTGCCTCCCCCATCAGACACCCTCCCGCATGGAGAACACAGGCCATGCCTCCGCCATCAGACACCCTCCCGCATGGAGAATACAGGTCGTGCCTCCCCCATCAGACACCCTCCCACATGGAGAACACAGGACATGCCTCCCCCATCAGACACCCTCCCGCGTGGAGAACACAGGCCGTGCCTCCCCCATCAGACACCCTCCCGCATGGAGAACACAGGCCATGCCTCCCCCATCAGACACCCTCCCGCATGGAGAATACAGGTCGTGCCTCCCCCATCAGACACCCTCCCGCATGGAGAACACAGGACATGCCTCCCCCATCAGACACCCTCCCGCGTGGAGAACACAGGCCGTGCCTCCCCCATCAGACACCCTCCCGCATGGAGAATACAGGTCGTGCCTCCCCCATCAGACACCCTCCCGCATGGAGAACACAGGACATGCCTCCCCCATCAGACACCCTCCCGCATGGAGAACACAGGCCATGCCTCCCCCATCAGACACCCTCCCGCATGGAGAATACAGGTCGTGTCTCCCCCATCAGACACCCTCCCGCATGAAGAACACAGGACATGCCTCCCCCATCAGACACCCTCCCACATGGAGAACACAGGCCATGCCTCCCCCATCAGACACCCTCCCACATGGAGAACACAGGCCCAGGCCATGTCTCTCGCACCCCACTGTTCTCGGGAGCCCATGGGGGCAGGTGGGCCCGGGGCTGTGTTTGGAACATGGGGGGGGGGGGAGGATTGTCACCTTCTGTGCCACTACACGACTGATGTTGGTGGCCCCAGGTCCTGACGACCTTCCTCCCAGGAGGTGATGAGGAGAGGCCCTTGGCAGGGTGCAGGTCGCAGGGAATACCCCACTGGATCCCAGGCTGGGAAGGGCAACGTGGGGCCCTAGCAGGCCTCCCCCCTGCATCCACTGTCCAAATCAATCAGGGACACAAAGGCCCCAACCCCACCTGGGTCCTGGCAAGCCAGCGGGAGGCAACCAGGGTGTGGGAGGCAAGGCAGGACGGGAGCCAGGTCCCTACAGGGCAGGTGCAGGGCCAGCCCTCAGCAGCCTCCCTCTCCCACCTCAGGCAGCGAGCATGGTGGGACCGTCCACACCAGTGTCCCACAGGCAGGCTAGGCACAGGCCCTAGAGCGAGGACAGTACCCACGCCCTGCCACAGGACACTGGGAGACAGAGACCTGCCATGGTCGGGTGAGCCTAGAGCCCGCCACAGGGGGCGAGACACAGGACCAGAGGGAGAGAGACACAGGGACAGTGGGGTAGAGACACGGGAACCAGCGGGAGAGACACAGGAACCAGCAGGATAGAGACATGGGAACGTGGGACAGTGGAGCAGAGACATTGGCCAGCGGGACAGAGACATGGGCCAGCGGGACATCATGGGGCCCAACAGGGCAGTACCTGGGTCTTCAGGCTGGTGGCGTCCAGCACAGTGACGCGGGGTCCACAGCTGGCCCACACGGCGTCCTCCAGGCTCAGCAGGGTGCGGATGGGCCCCGGGCCCACCGTCAGGCACATGGGGGGACTCTCCAGATCCCAGGGGACGCCGCCTGAGGGGAGAGCAAGGGTGCGCGGACGCTCAGAGGGGGGCCCCACTCGCACGCCCACCCATGCTGGGCGAGGCCCTGGCCCTCAGAAGCACAGAACAGCGTCAGACTCAGCCTGCCAGGAGAGTGGAGGGCTGGGCAAGTCCTGTGCTAATCGGGCAGTGACAGCACCGGGTACCGAGCACCAGTGATGGGGTGCAGGGGAGGGGTCTTGAGAGAAGTGAAGAATAAGAAACCCACCCTGCTGGGGGGGTGGGGGGAAACCCAAGGAGGCTTCCTGGAAAAGGTGGTATCCTGCTGGGCCCTGCCACAGGCTGACCCTCTCCCGACTCTTCCTGCTGGCCACTGGGGACTCAAGTGAGTGTACTGCTCCCTCCTCAAGATGTCAGTTTCCCCTCTGCAAGGGGCGGTGCAGTGTCCAGGCGCCAGTCTCTGAGGAGTGAGCTGAGGCCACAGTCGACTGGGTTGCCACCTCCCACCTTCCCACCCTCTCCCCCACTCACCCTCTCGCCCACTCGCCCTCTCACCCGCCCACCAGCACCCAGATGCCCTTCCGGCTCCAGGGGCTAGGGAAGGAGCAGGAGCCCGGGGCAGAGGACTGAGGGGGCAGTTTGTCTGCCCCAGACCCTAGGGCCTCACTGGGCTCAGGACAGGCCCCAGGTGCCTGGCCCTGACGCCTCCTCCCTGCCCTCCGTGAAGGCCGGGAAGTGTCCCTGGCATGTGAGCACTGTCCCTCAGGCTGGTTTCCCTCCAATGTCATGCCTGATGCCGCCCAGGACCCCAGGGGAGCCCTGGTGAGGAACGCTCAGGGGGATGGACAGGTCTGGCGGGGAAGTTGCCAAGCCTAGGAGCAGACTAAGGGACTGCTGGAGGGGCATGAAGGGAAATCAGCCAGAACCAGCCTTGGGGGACACAGTGGGTCCCACAGTCTGCAAATGCCAGAGCCGCCAGGCTCACGTGCAGCCACCACCTGGGGGGCATTCAGGACCTCCAGACCCTGCCCGTAAGGCAGATCTCCCCCAACCCTGCATCCTACCTGACACTGGCTGAGGGGCTGAGTGGCCAGCTCAGGGGGCCAGCTCACAGGCTCTGCCCGCTGGCACTACTGGGAGTGGCCCCAAGTACTGAGCCAGGAGCAGTACCTAAGCTGCTGGTATAGCAGTAGCACCCCAGGTGGCCCCAGGTAAAATAATGATGATGACGATTTAAAAAAAAATCTGATAGACTCCTAACTCCATCAAAAGTTGAGGACTTAGGGCTGAAGTGATAGCACAGTGGGTATGTCATTTACTTTGCATGCAGCTGACCCGGGTTCGATTCCCAGCATCCCATATGGTCCCCCAAGCACCGTCAGGAGTAATTTATGAATACAGAGCCAGGAATAACCCCTGAGCATCATCGGGTGTGACCCCCCAAAAAAGTTGAGGACTTGTGAACCCCCATCAGCCCCCAGCTAACACATGGCCAGCTCACAGCCAGCTCTTCCCAGCCCGCAGACATGTGCTTGGGAAGCGGACTGGGTTGGACTTAAAGGTCTGCATTGGCCTGGACCAACGGCTGTCCCTCTCTACCCGAGTTTCTGCTCCTGTGAAGAAGGTGCCTGGGTGCCCCTCCACCTTGCCAGATGCTGCAGGGACCCAGAGGGAGTCTGGGGGTCTGGTGTGACCCTGCCCCCCTCGTGAGGCTCTGCTCGTGGCCCGGGAGCCCCGTCCTGGCCATAGCGTGTCTGCATAAGCCCCTGCTCCCCGCGATCTCAGCTGCCGGCTTGGGTCACACTGCGAGAAGGAGCCCGGCTCATCAGAGGCCACAGTTCCACGTCACCCGCCTGCGGGCACTGGCTGGGAACTGCTCAAGGGCTCCCCAGGCCGTTGAACTCAGTGACCCTGGGCCTCGTCTCCCCAACCCCAACACCAGTCCCCGTGTCACTCTGGTGCCAAGAATGTCCAGAAATCTCTGGAACCAGGGTCGTGACCCAGGAAGGCAGAATGTCCACAAGGCAATGGGGCCACCACAAGGGACGTTGATCCCAACCAGGAGGCCAGAGCCTCGAAACTGTATGGCTTCCAGCGCCCACCCAGCCCCCCGCAGTGGTCAGATGTGAAGATGTGAATAGTGCTTGTGACACGGAGCTGGACGTGGCCACTTGGGGTAAGGCAGCAGCAGTGACCAGTCTGGGGAAGGAGGCAGCCAGGGGTGCTGGGAACACACCCCTCAAAATGGAGCACGGCAAAGGCCAGCAGTGCCCCTGCACATTCCTGGGCTAGGGGCCAGGTCTAAATACCCAGAGGGCCACAATGCACTGGCCCCGGCTCACCTATGGGCCGCTCTGCTTGTTTAACAACAGCAGCAGTGCCAGGTGCCCAAGGACCCTGGGCAGGAGCCCAGCACACGTGCCCACACCAGAGTGTTTGCTGGGGCTGTCTTCTCCTGCCCCCCAAGCATAATTCTCCCGGTGGGAGAAGGGTCATGCCCGGCAGTGCTCGGGAGCCTCTCTGCGTCATACCAGGGGACCGGGTCCTTGAGCACCACCTTCGTGACCTGGGTGGCCACCCTGGCACCCAGGTCCCCAGCAGCACCACCTCCTCGGGTCCTGGCCCTGAGTCCCCAGCTGGCTTGGCCGAGAGTCCCGGAAAAGGGTCCACGGACCTCCTGAGCACTGCCTGGGAGGCCTCTGCAGAAACTCATGGTGGGCAGGGGTGGGAAAGTGCAGGTCCCACAGCCACAGGACACGCCAATGGACCGAGACCAGCTCCCAGTGCCGGGGGCGCCCGCCACATCTCATTCCAGTGCCACCCTCGCAGGCGTGGGGCCCGGAGCCCACCACGTCTCCTGTCCCGCCTCGGGAAGCACCCAAGCAGCCGGACGCCCTCACGGCAACATAGGATCTACCTCATCTCCTGCACCCCACACTCTGGCCTCACTGGGCACCCCCAGTGACTGGCCAGGTCCCCTCCTGCCTCCACGCCTTTGTGTATGCTGGTCCCCCTACTGAGAACACCATTCCCTGTGCTCTGGTCATAGCATTTGAGCCCTGAGCCTCAGCTGACCTGCCTGGTGTCCTGCCCCTCAGCCTCTCTCTCCTGCCCTGCTCCCCGTGACCATGCTGCTGCTAAGGTCAGCTCCACCTTTTTTGTTTTGTTTTGTTTTGTTTTTTTTGGGTCACACCCAGCAATGCACAGGGGTCACTCCTGGCTCTGCGCTCAGGAATTACTCCTGGCAGTGCTTGGGGGACCATATGGGATGCTGGGAATCGAACCCGGGTCGGCTGCGTGCAAGGCAAACACCCTACCCGCTGTGCTATTGCTCCAACCCCAGTCAGCTCCACCTTAGCCCATCACCCTTCCTCAGCACCAGCCGGGGTGCCCAGCCTCTCATGAGTCACGCAGCCCCTTCTGTCCCCCTCTGTGCACAATGCCCTTGGCCAGGCAGGGGGGCAGATGTCTATGGGGCAGAGAGGGAAGGAAAACGTGGCACCTCCCACCTGCCAGCACCCTGCAGGCGCACCCAGAACCAGGACCCGGGGAGCGGATCATTGTGGGCCTCTGGGGAGCCCCTTCCTGTCCCTCCCCCCCCAAAAAATAGGGTATGGAGTCTGATGGTCTTCAGGGGCCATCCTGGTTCTGGCAAACCCCATGCTGAAAGCCTGGTTAGATCCCCCAAGTTCCCTAGAAAGGTTGAAAGGTTCATATTTTGAGGTCCTAACTCCCCCCCCCAGAATGCCTCTCAATGGGCCGTTCTTTAGAAATAAGGGTGCTGCCAGCATCATTCGTGAGAATGTGGTCCCACTCAGCCTGTGCCCAAGATGACCTGGACTCTCAGATGAAGGGCATCTGTGGGTGGGGGACATGGCTCAGTGGCCATGCACTTGTACCTGTGAGATCCTGAGCTGGATGCCCGGGGTCCACAACAAAAGCAAGGAAACACGGACACAGACCCTGGCACAGAGAAACCAGCAGGTGCCCGAGGACAGTGGCAGAGGGAGGACAGCCTGGGGCGGCCCCTTCCCCGGAGGTCCCAGAAGCAGAGCCGGACACCAGTGGCCTCGGCCTGAGAGGGTGCTGCTGGCGCGTCTCTGCAGTGGCACTCCGCAAATGCCAGGCCCTCCCTTGCCCCCACCCAGCAGGGACCCAGCAGGACAGGGTCCAAGGAGCGGGCCGTCAGGCAGGGCTCACAGCAGTACTGGGCTGTCCCGCTCATAACCTTCTCTCTGTGTACGCAGACGAGAGCCCCAACACCACACACACACACACACACACACACACACACACACACACACAGAGTCTGATGATAAGAGGGATGTCCCCCTCCCTCTTCCCCCTTTAATTAAAAACTATAAATGCCTTATCAAAAGCTAATTAAAAATACCAACACAGTGCCAAGTGGCAAAAAAAAAAAGTAAAAAAAAAAAAGCTCTGTACAAGTACCCGTTTATAAGCCGGCAGCCGGCAGTGGTGACGCAGCGTCACAGGAGCTGGGGAGCAGGAAGTTGGGGTGGGGGAGGCCCACGAGACGGCCACGGAGTCTGTGGCCCCGCAGTCCTCCGTCCCAAGATCCCTGGGGTCCAGCCCACCCCATCCCCGTCAGCAAACCGGGAGCTCCACGAACCATTCAACATGGGACTGTGGCTTCCGGCGTGGCTGTGGACGCCGCGTCCCCTCCGTGAGTCTCAGCCCCGGTCAGGGGGCTGCACACAACCTTGCTGCCCACTGAGCACTTTTGCCCTGGCGGCTGCAGGCCTGGCAGGAGCTGTGCCAATGTCTACACCTTCTGTGGCTCATGAACCGGCAGAGACGGCGGCTCACAGCTCTGCCAAGGTGCTGGCCGGGGAGGGGTCACACCCACATTGCTGCCCTGAGCCCCTCTGCAACCTCCAGCCCCTGTTCCCCGCAGAGCCCCTGCGACCCCCCAACCAGCACACACCACCCCAGGGTCACGCCTGAGTGCCCCCCTGGCCTGCCTCTTGAAGACCCCTCTGGAATAGAAGCTGGTTCAAGTCCAATGCCCCTGTCTGACGCTCACCAACCTTGCCCGGCCCTCCCCACCTCTCCCCTCCCCTCCCCCACTCTCCCCCACCATTCCCCCCCTCTCCCGCCCCCTCCCAGGCTCACCGCCGGTCCGAGGGTAGGCTGCCAGGGTCCCGTCCTGCAGGCCGGCGAGCAGGTGGAAGGGGCTGTGTCGCAGGCAGAGCACGGGCTGCAGGCCGGGGCTCTTGCCGCTGGCCAGGCACTGGGTGCCCGTGTCCACGCTGCTGTAGACCAGGATGCTGGGGGCGGGGGGAAAGAGAGGCCTGCATGACCCTCAGCCCTACCCCCAACTGTCCCAGGTAGCCCCTGGAAGCTGGGGATGCCGGGGGGACCGGGGGAGAAGCAGATACACCCATGGTGTTCAGGGTGACGCGGGCCCAAGTTCAGGCGAGACGTGACCACAGGAGGACGTCCCTCACAATGGGCCCAGGTAGCCGTCCTCGGGGCCAGAGAGAGGGGTGGGGCTCTCACACTGGCTCTCTGGGGGAGCCTCAAACACGGGCACTAGGAAAGACCACACCTCTTTCCCACAGGGCTCAATCACCGTCCCGTCTCTCTGAAGTATCTTCACGAGACTAAGCTTCCTCCCAGGCCAAATGATGGGGGACGGGAAGTGGGGAGAACAAAGGGGATCGGGGGACCAGGCACGAGGCGAGCGGGGGGCCTGCCTTATGGAGATGAACTTCTCTAGGGGTGCTGGGCACGGCGGGTGCAGAGCCAAGCTTGCTGCCTGGGGGACCCTCTGCCAGCAGCTCTCATGACTGGGAGGAGCCAGGCCCCAAGCCCGCCCCCCTGCAGGGCCATCTGGACCCTCAGTGGTGGCTGGAGGGGGGACAAAGGCATTGGGGGCCCGGAAGGTTTCACTGCCCTGGCTCAGGGGAGTCTAAATAGCCCGCCCCCACTTTGCAGATGAGAGGTCCCGAGGTCCTCGGGTGGGGGTTCAGCTTAGTCTAGCAGACACAGGACTATACCCCACTCCCAGCCCCACTGTCTCCAGGGAGCGCAGGCCAGCCCCAGGGGTGCCCACACTGGCTCCCTGGTCTCCCCACACCCGGCCCTCTCCCCAGGACCCCACCTGCCATCCTGGAGGCCCAAGCAAATGGCCGGGTGCACTGCAGCTCCGGGCTCGGAGGCAGCGGCTGCCCGACTGTCCTGGTGGTCCCCGTGTGCGTCCTCGCCCTCCTCTGGCTCAGGAATGTACTCCATGCACAGCACGGGGGCGGCCAGCGGGAAGGACTTGACTGTGCGCGGCGAGGGCCGGTTCAGGGAGAAGATCTCCACCTGGCCCCCCGCACCCTCCTGCCCGCCCCCGACCTGGAGGGAGAAACAGAGAAGCCGTCAGGGATCCCAGCCTCTGCCCCCATTTCTCCTCGGCAGGGGGCTGGGTGTCCAGAGTGTGCCCCCCGCCCTCCGGGCCCACACCCCCTGCTGTCCCCACAGGACACTCACTCCTGGCTACCTTGGCAATTGGTTAAATTCAGGGCCCAGTTAAGGAAATCAGCTGGACTACTGGCCCAATCAACTACCTCCTTGCCCTTTCACAGCGAGGAGGCGGGGGGGGGGGGGGTATTTCAACAACAAAGAATGTTCCTACTCATCCCCTTTTAGACCTCCTCAGTCTTGCTCACTGCCTTAACTCTGTCTAGCACATGGGAGGCACTTAGGGAGGGAGGGAGGGCAGATGGATGAATGGAAGGAAGGATGCATGGGTAGATGGATGGGAGGATAGATGGGTGGATGGACGGGTGGGTGGGTGAATGGGTGGGTGGATTGGTGGGTGGATGGATGGACGCATGGGTGGATGGGTGGATGGGTGGGTGGATGGATGAATGAATGGACAAATAAGCGGGTAGCTGGGTGGATGGATAGATGGATGGGTGGGTGGGTGGGTGGATGGGTGGCTGGATGGATGGACAGATGGGTGGGTGGGTAGATGGGCAGACAGAGAGGACGGTGGAAGGGGAAAGGAAGTCAACCCCAGCTCCCAGGTGCCCTCTCCCTGCCATCCTGGGCAAGGGGATGACTCACCCAGAGGTAGCCCTGTGGAAGAGAGGTGCTGACCGCCGAGAAGCCCAGCAATGGGTAGCTGACAGGACTGTGGACCAGGGCCCCCAGCTGCAGAGACAGAGACGCACAGGCGTGGGTCAGTGGCTGGGGCCTGAAGTGCCCGGATCTGCTAGCAGGACCCAGGTGGGAGCCGCCAGAGGGGGCAGCGATGCCACAAGGCCCAGCGAGGGGTCCCACAATCTTGCCAGGGCTGTCCCCCACAGGGCGGCCGAGTGGTGGGGGAGGTACATCTGGCTGGCAGAAAGGGCCGACACACTCAAACCCCTGCTTCCTCCTTCTAGAACCTTCCACGAAAAGGAGGCTGAGTGGCCCTCCAGGCGATTGTTTCTCGGCCAAGGGCCAAATGGCCCTCCTGTGGGCCATCAGGAGAGTTCAAGAGGGTCACAGGTTAAAAAAAATGTGTAAATTGGGGAGAATGGGAGGGGCACAACAGGAGACCAAGGGGCGAGAGGGTAGAACAGGGCGAACTCAGGAAGGAAACACAGGGGTGAAGGGAGAAGCACCGGGCAGCCCTGCTCCAGAGAAGGGCCACTGAGCTGGTCCCCTGTTGCTCACTCCACGAGGACCTCACAGAGTTGCCCGAGGGTCACAAGTCCCTGCCTGCCACAGGGGGAGAGCGTGGCGTGGGATCCCTCACTGCTCCCCTCTACGCCACAGCCCTGCAAGGCTCCCAGAGTCAGAGGTATGGGTGCAGACTGGGGGTGCAGGGGGTGCTGAGGGCACCGTCTGCAGGGCCCAGGGACACACTGCCGCCGGCTCCTCCCGCTCAGCAGCTCTCTGGTGCCTGGTCACAGGCTTGTCAGTGACCAGGACAGTGGTCAGTGGGAGGCCGTTTGGCACATCCCTGGGCCTTGCGGGGAGCCCAGAACTGGGAGGAACCGGGAGCCTCTGCCGCCTTCGCTGGGTCGGTGCTGCCCTCTGCTGGAGCCGGCCAGTCCTGCTGGAACCCTCCAACACGGAGGGCCAAGGAGAGGGGTCCAGGGACTGACCTCAGCCCCCTGCGTTTAGGAATGGGATGACGCAAGGGGTTGGTGGGGTGGGTGGAGAGGGAACAATGACCAACTCGGAGTCAAACAGCAAGGCAGAGGAAGTCCGTGTCCTCTCTCTCCTGCTGGACTCCACAGAGGCTTTGGCATTTGGGCCCCAAACCCACTTCTGCAGGGCCTGGGATTGGAGGGGGTCCCAAAGCCTGGGGAGTGGGAGGCATCCCTCCCCCGCGACCCTCTGTCCCTGCTTCCCATCAAGTTGCAGTTCTCCGGGGGAATCAGGGATGGGGGTTGGCCCTTTCTGCCGGCCGGATGCACCCTGCACTCAGCCACCCTGTGGGAGGCAGCCCTGGTCCACACGTTTCCCTGGCAACTAGAATGTTGGCCCAGAAGGGGACAGTCGGGGGCCCAGACAGTGACAAGGCTGGTCCAGACTGCTGAGAGCCCACCCACCCGCCTGCCAGTCTCAGCCCAACCGCTCCCAGAAAGCGGCTCCTTGTCTCGAAAGCGGGGCCCTGGCCCTCACCAGGATGGTCCTAGGGAGTAGGGCGTGACGTGGAGCATTTGGTGCTCAGGACCTAGGGGTGGGCACCCGCAGCCTCCCCGCACCCCAGGGCTTCCAGGCACTGTGCATTCAGCTGTCACGGAGCAGGGGGCAGGGCAGAAGAAGGCGAGCCCATACACGGGGCAGTGGCAAAGGCGAACGTCCAGCCCTCAGCGGCCTGGAGCACAGGCCTTCTGCAGGCAGGGACAACAGCCCCTCGGGGGCCCCTGGGGTGGTGCCTCAGAGCAAGCAGAGGCCTCAGTTGTTCTCCAGCCTGTCCCCTGGTGGGCCCTGGGGCTGGGGTCAGGCCAGGCTGCCTCTTCCAAGACAGGCTCCCCCGGTGGGATGAGGGAGGTCCTCAGACACAGGGGAGCTGAGTTCCACAGTTGGGGGTGAGGGTGCCCCCGAGCCCCCAGAGGGGTACTGGCTCCATGCCCTCGGGCCTGGGTGAAAGGGTGCTCCTGGCTACTGTGGCACAGCCAGGATCACCCCCAGCACCAGCCCCCAGCCCGCTCACCCCCTCTCCTGACCAGGGGCCAGGGAGGACAGAGAGACAGAGAGATGGAGACACACACACACACACACACACACACACACACACACACACACCACAGCGGCTTCTGAGCTCTGGGATGGCCCAGAGGGATCCTCCCTGGTGATGAGCTTGTGGACCCCCTTCTGGGCACCCAGAGCCACCAGGTCCCGTCTTTGGAGGGGAACTCGGCTGCCCCCCTCCCCCCTAGGCCTGTGCTTGGCCCTTCCCCCCTGACTGGCAAGTGCCCCTGATTGAGGTCCTGGTGCACCCCAGCCTTGTCCAGAGGCCGTGGATAAAGATGTGAGTGTGTAGCCCCTCTGGTGCAGGCCCCCTCCCTCCCGGCCCACTGCCTCCTGCCGGGCCCCAGCCGGGCCTCAAGGAACCCTAGCCCTGGTGGGGGAACCAGGAGGGCGCTTTCCAGTCTACACGTCCTCGGGGTCTCAAAGAGACACACTTGGAGCTCCTTACCCCCATACCCCACCCCCGGTGTTTAGGGGACTCCAGTGGTGGGTCAGGGGGCCCAGGGGATTCTGGAAGCAATGCCCCCGGTGTGACAGCCTGGGGGGAGGGGACTGGGGCACAGTCCAGGGCCCTGATCACTCAGGGGCCCCTGATTCATCTCCAGGGGCCCCACAAAGCCGGTTCCACCATTGGCCTTGTCTGCAGGCTGCCCTCAGGCCAGGCGAGCAGCAGGCAGGGTGGATCTGACCCATCACCCCTCTGGGCCCCACCCCCAGGGTTCCCCAAGCACTACAGAGAGGAATCCTGCGGGTTCCCTGGAAACATCCGGGGGGCACAGACTGGCCATGCAGGAAGGAGGCGGGAGGTTGCAGGTGTCTGCCATCCCCCTGGGGGGCAGCAGCAGGGCTGGGCTCCCAGCAGGCAGTTGCCACACCCGGACTGGCACCCCACGCCCCAGGGCTAAAGCACCCCCTGAGGCATCCTGCCCGCACTCTCTGACTGCACCAGACCCAGTGCCGAGGACGGACGGGTCCCTCTCACGGAGCCCCACAGCCAGGCTTGGCACGGGACACGACACCGCCCACTGCCGCCACTGGCTGGACACCCAAGACCCCATCCTTCACCTGACTCCCCATGGAATGTCCCCCAGCACCTCCGCTGCCTCCATCAGGGCCAGGACTGTGGGGGGTGGGGGAAGGGGAGCACTTATCAGAGGGGCACGGTTTCAGGGCAGGGGGCAGCTTAAAGATTCACATCAAGGAAAATGTGTTTGAGGCTATTTTTGTCTGTTTGTTTTGGGTCCCACCCAGCGGGGCTCAGGATTTATTCCTGGCTCTATGCTCTGGGATCACTTCTAGCAGGGCTGGCAGACCATAGGGGATGCTGGTTTCGAACCCAGGTTGGCTGTGTGCAAGGGTAGCACCCTACCCGCTGTCCTGCTTGGACCCCTCCGGTAAAACGTTTTAACACACTTTCTCTAGAATCAAAGATAACAAGGGGGAAGGGGGAAGTGGGGTCCCTGACGAATGATGACTGAGATCCGCGAAGCCTGATGGAGCCCTGAGCCTATACCGCCCCCTCCTACCTCTCCCTGCCTCCTGCCAGCCCCCTGGGTCTCGGTGGAAATGCCACCGCCCCCAAGAGGCCCCTCTGACCCTGTGTGGTCTCAGAGCTGCGTCTTTCACCCGCTAACGTGGTTACAGTTCTCTCTCCTTAGTCCCTTGTCCCCACCAGGAGAGGGCCTGGCTCTCCAGGAGACAGAACTCTGCAAAGGAAGGGGCCACGCCAGCTCAGGTCCCATCTATCCTGTGTCCAGCCCAGGCCCCAGCCAGCACTCAGCGGGGGCTCAGAACAGACAGAGTAAATGGATGGATGGCGTGAATGGACGGACGGAGTGAATGTACAGAGAGTGAATGACTGAACAGTGAGTGACCGGACAGTGAATGCACGGACCAAGCTGATGTCTGGAGAGTCCCTCCGGCCCTCCCAGCGGGACCTGCAGCCCACCCGTCTTGTTGCAGGCCCTGTGCTCGCTGTCTCTGCTCCCCTGTGTGCGGTGGGAGGCGGGGCAGGAGCTGCTGCAGAGGGCAGGGTGCCTCACCAGGGCTGGGCAGTGGCGCCCGCATGTCCTGGGTGAGGCGCGCAGGGCAGGGCGGGAGTGGGGCAGAGCCGGGCTCCGGTTCCTGGCTTGGTCCGTCCACACTGGCTGAGCTCACTTTCCTTACCAGGAAACGGGTCCGGATACACCCACTGGTGGGGAAGTTACCAAGATCCCAAATAGGAGCCAGGAGGCAGAGCAGGGACACTGGACTCAGGGGCCACCAGCCAGTTCTACCCTGTGACCTCAGCGGGGTCCAGCCACGGGTCAGCACAGTCCCTTGGGCCCCTTCCAGCCCGGTTTCTGCGCTGGAGTCGGGCCACCGACCGATAAGGTCACTGAGACTTGTTATCAAAATGAGAGAATTTTCCATCTCTCGGCTCCATGGCGGCCCTCCCACCCACCCCCCACCTCTGCTGACTCGCCTGCAGGGGGGCACGGTCACTCTGGAAGGCTCCCCCACAACCACCCTGCTCACCTGCAGGCTGAGGGCCCGGGAGGAGAAGGCAGGGATGCAGCAGGCCAGGATCGGGCACCAGAAGGGGGCTTTGCTCTTCTTATCCTCGTCCGGACACAGCCAGCCCGGCTGGTTCTCCTCCCCTGCGGAGCAGGAAGGAGGGGTGAAACGAGGAGGGGCTGGGGCCGAGGCCTAAGTGGGCAGGTGGGCAAGCAGGAGCCCCTGCGAGGGCCCAGGAGCCCAGGCTGCCCGTTCCTGCCCCTCAGTACACAAATGTCCCTGACCAGGGCTGGGGGTGGGGGTGGGGTTGCAGCTGGAGTGACCATGAGCCTGTCACCCGGTTTCTTGAGACTCGAGTTCTCTACCTGTGGAGCTGAAACGGCGGCAGGCAGACAGACAGACAGACAGACAGACAGATAGACACCCCCACTTTCCTGCTGTGGCTGACTAGAGAGGATCAAAAGCCACCAGGAGGCTGGAGCCCAGCCCCGCGGGGCCCCGCTGCAGGGGGGCCTTGTCTTCCAAGAGCTTGGGACTGGGACGTCCCACCGGAGTGAGGGGCAGTGGGGGCTCTGCATGGCGGAGAGGAAGGCCAACAAGGGGAGGGCGTGCCGACCATGGGACAGGCTCAGACATACCAACACAGCCCCTGGCTTCTGCGGGGGCTCTGCACCCCCCTACCCGCACCAGCATCACAGCCCCAGAGGGAACCCACGAGACCCGACTCTGCCCTCAAGGCCAATCACAGCCTGGCTGGGCATCAGGACAGCTGCAGCCAGTGTGGGTCCCAGGACACCAGCCGGCTTGGGCCGTCACATGTGGACTGGGTAGCATGGATTAGCAGAGGTTGGCATGGCCTGGCATTGATTGGCACACCCGGGCACCGGCCTGGCCAGACGAGCACGGGCAGTGGCACTCATTCTGGCTTGGCATGGCCTGCTGCTCACTAGCATGGTCTGGCACAAACCAGCAAGGGCTGGCACCAGCTGGCATGGTTTGGCATGGGCTGACACATGTGTGTCCGGCAGTGGTTGGCGTGGACTGGCTCAGGCTGGCAGTGTTGTCACAGCACTGGCTGGTCTGGTTTGTCACAGGTTGGCAGGGTCTGGCACTGCATGGCATGTGCTGGGGTGGGTGACCAGAGCATTGGAAGGCTGGCAGGGGTGGCACTAGGTGGCGTGGATCACACGTGGACTGACTCAAGAGCTGCATGGTTTGGTATGGGCTAGTGCTAGTGGCATGGGTAGTACTAATAAGCCTGCCCTGGCACTCACTAGTGGGCATGAGCTGGCTCGACCAGCACTGGTTAGCAGTGCCTGGCACGAGCTGGCACTGACTGGCATCAACTGGCTGGGGTGGCATAGTTGGCACAACCATGAAGGAAAAGCCGACCCTGGCCCAGGTGGGCATCAGCAGGGTGGCCCAGCACTTGAGAAGGACTCTACATGCCTCATACCTTACGAGAAGCAAAACTGTCTCATGCCACCCTCATGGCCCCCAGGGGTGGGAGGGTTCATCCATGTCCTCTCCTGGGGAAGTGGAGGCAGGGGCCAAGCCCATGAGACACAGTGTCCATGGCTGGGATTATAGCTCAAAGAGGGCCACCCCTATGGCCTCACGTCCCCAGGCAGGGACCCCCACGTCCCCCAGCCTCTCCCCGCACATCCCCACCAATCAAGTCCTGCCAATGTATCATCGCCTGTTTTTGTTGTTTTTTTTTTTTTATGATCTGACCTTCTCCTTCCAAATAGCACCTTCCCTGCTTGCAGCTGGGACTGTGGGGAGGAAAAGGAGCTGGAACTCCCCGTCTGCCACTGCTATGGACCCTGTCACCAGGCAGGAGCGCCGAGGAGAGCTGGGAGCCTGCTCGAGACAGTGATGTTAGGGACCAGGGCTGGTTTAGGGCCCCGCTCTATGCTGCACCCATGGGAACTGCCAGCAGCCCACGGGAACAGTGGGCGAGGGGGCCGCCACGGAGAACACAGACTCACGGCGTGACCCAGAGTGGCCACGGAGCCTCTCAGCCACATGTCTCCTGTGGGTGGGGAGGCGAATGCGTCCCACAGCACTGCTGGAGGGGCACCCCGAGGGGTACAGCAGGGAGGGCGGACAGGAGCCCCCCACAGGCCCTTCCCTCTTCCATCTTGGGACTGGCCATCCAGGCCCCTTTCTGGGGAGCCTTCAAACGTGGGATGAATCGGGGGCGGGAGGAGGCGGGACCCACTCTGCACAACCCTGTGTGTGACCCCGGTGGTCACTTCCTCTCTGTGCGTTCCAGACACCCCCTCCCGGGAAGGCCAGCGCAGGGAGAGCATGCACACTTCCCCTACCGTCTCTCGGAGAATCCCAGCCACGTGGCCATCAAGGAGTCCACCCAACACAGCGCTGGCCAGCGGCAGAGCTGGGCCCACACCCGAGAAGCAGGGCCCCTCCATGCCACCGGGGGCCAATCCTCGGAGCACAGGCGCAGGCCCCTGTCTGCCCAGGGACCCCCATGCCTGCCCCTCCTTGCCGAGGTCTGATGGAGCCGCCCCCACCCCGCCCCCCGCCCACAGCACACTGTGTGGGGAGAGAGGTCGATGACGGAACAACATCCTCAGCGAGCAAACGTTTTTCACATCTTCCGTCTCCAACAGGCTCACATTATCCACCCCCGGCCCCAGCCCCCACCAGGCACTGCAGATGAAAAAAAAACAAACCCGCAAAATAAAAGGAACAAATTATTCAGGCCCCAGGGGGACCAGGCATTCAAATAAGATTCCAAATGACTCTCCTTCCAAGAAAACTTCTGCCGCAGTCTCTGGGTGGAAATGAGGGGCAGAGCGGCTCGCGGCAGCCAGGAACGGACTGGACCGTGGCCATCACCCCAACCCCTGGGATGCCTCATGACCCCAACAGGGCCTTGAGCCTCTGGCCGGGCTGCATGGCGCCCCCTGCAGGCCGGGGACTGCATGAGCCACCTTGTCTTCCCACACGCCACGGTCCAGTACCCGGGCAAGCCTCCAGCCTCTGGCCAGGGTCCTTTCACCACACACCCGGCCTTTAGACCTCCTGGCCACCCAGAAACACCCAGCAGAGGCCTGGACAGAAGCCTCTGTGCCTGCTGCCACCAAATCCAGAGCCTCCATCTCCTTCCTACCTGCCGACCACGGAGGTAGCCACAAACACAGGTGTGGGGCCGCAACCTGACCTCGCTCCCCGTGCCACAGGACCTGCCAATCTCCTGCCAATGCTCAGCCTGGACCACTGCACCCAGCTCCCCTCCTGGCTTCACCAAGGCAGGGGCCCTCGCGGCAGTGGTGACAGTCTTGTCACCCCACCTCCCCACTCCCTGCGCCATGCCTGCGTCCCCCACCCCAAGGCAACCCTGAGTGCAGCCCTCAGGCCCCGGCCCCAGCCCAGAGTAGCCACAGAGATGCAACGGGGTTTCTTCATTGCAAGTCCCGGGTGAAGGTCCTGATCCATTTCGAGAACTGTGTACTGAACCTGTTTCTGAAACTGACTGCTGTGGCCAGCAGTGTAGAATGTAAGAAGATCACCCCAGGGGTCAGAGGAACAGACAGCGGGGTGGGCGTTTGCCTTGCACGTGGCTGAGCGGAGTGCAATCCGCATGTAGATCCCTGAGCACAGGGCCAGGGGAAAGCCCAGAGCTGGGTGTGGCCCCAAACCCAAAAAGCCAATTAAAAAAAAGAGAGAGAGATCACACCAGAAAAGAAAATCAAAAAGGTCCATGCTGTTCCGGGCGGCAGGAACTCAAGGGAATCCCGCCCTCCTCACCCCTCCCTCCAGCTCCCAGCTCTGACCTACAAGGACGACAGCACAGCACAGGAGCCCAGGAAACAGACAAGAAGAGGAAGGCCATCACGGTCACTTCAGCCTGAGGGATGGCAGGCGCGTGAAGGACCCCAGGAAAGGAGGGGCAGGGACTGGGCGGGGCTGTGGGTGACCCTGCCCTCCTGCTGGGCCAGCTCTGGCCCTCGCACCCCCCGGCTGTAAAGAGGGGACCTCAAGAGGCCCCCTTCTTGGGGTGACCGTGAGTGTGAAATGGAGAGCTGCACATTGGATGCTCAGAGGCACCATGCTGACGTCACTGTCCACCTGCTCCCATAGGCAGGCACATGGGAGGATGGGGAGCGGAAGTCTGGCCCCTGGTCCCGTGAAGGTGTTGCTGGCTTCCAGTATAGTCACAGGGCTGGACAGCACCAGCGCTAAAGGACAGTGTCCTCTTCCCAGGCCATGTCTCTGCACCCCCCGCCCCGCAGGACCCCCGGGCCCTGTGACTTCACCTCTGTGGGAACTGTGACTCCGAGAGGGAAGGAGGCTTGTCCAGGGCCCCTTGGGGGCACTCGGAACCCCACCACATGCCCACTGCTTCCCCATGCCCAGGCCTGCCTGACCCACCCTATCCATGCCCACACACATACACACACACACACACACACACACACACACTGGGACACCCCCTCTCTGCGCCCCAGGCCCCCAAAGGCCGCGCTCCCCATGTTTCCCACTCACGGAGTCCAATCTTGGCCAAGTGTAGCCTGTTGACCCAGGAGATCTTGCTCAGGGGGTTGGGGGTGATGAAGACGACCATGAAGCTGATGGGGCGCCCAGACCTGCGGCGAGAGAGAGCAGGGGAGGGGTGAGGGGAGCACGGGACTTGGAACATGGCCTGGCCCCTCGGGAATACCTGCCTGCCCTTGGCCCACAGGCCTGGGAGCAAGGGAGGGAGGGAGAGGGCACGTGGGCTGCTCTGGGTGAGCGCCAGGCGTGGCTGGGAGGCTACTGGCCAGGCCAGCCTGTGTCCCAGTGGGCAGGGGCGGGACGTTGGGATCCACAAGGTGCAGACGGGGAGGGGCCCGGGCAGGGCCGGGTGCAGAGCTGGAGCCTCGGACGCCAGACGCGGGTGCTACTCTCACCGCTCCCTCATGCCGCACTGCAGCTGTGGGGAACACACGCTCCCAGCCCTGGAAAGTGCCAGCCACACCTCTCACTAGATGTGCACCAGGAACCCCTGGGGAGCAGGGATGTGGGGCAGATGCTGGCGGCTCAGGAGGTTCCTTCCTGGTGCTGCCAGCAGAGGCCACAGTATCATCTGGGCAACCCCTCTCAGCCCTGGGCAGGCTCTGGGGGAGGGGGGGCCACAGCCTGGTGCTGGGCAGCAGGGCCGGGCCTCAGAGGAGAGCCGGGCCTGGCTCCAGGGGACGGACGGTCCAGTTTCACAGTATAGAGCCAGACACGGTACACTGAACCTAACCTAGAGCCCAGGGTCTGAGGAACCTCGGAACGAGACCCGGGCTTGGCTTGGAAGGAGTCACCGGGCCGCTCACTCCTTCGTTCTTTCTCCCCACAAGGAGACCTGCTCCGTGCCAGATCCACACTGGGCACAGCTCACAGCACGCCCACAGCCACTCCCAGCACAGCTGCACTGGGGGAGACCATGGAACCAGGTTCCTGACTCACTCCTGGGAGACCCACCCAGGGTCCCCTGCATGTCCCTCCCCCAATGCCCCCTCCAAGTCCCTGCCTCAATTCCCCCACCCCCCGCATGTCCCTGCCCCAGGGCCCTCCCGTACCTCCCTGCCCCGGCCCCCATCTCCATGTCCTCCCCACCCCTGCCCAGACCCCTCCCTCACTTGTCGGGCTTGCCGGGAAGCAGGAGCCGGAGGCGGCACTTGTTGGCTGAATGGATCTCCTCCTCCTTGACGCGCATCAGCCTCTGCAGGGCCAGGCACCAGTCCTGAGCCACAGTCATGTTCAGGTTCTAGGGCGGAGGGGGTCAGTGAGGTCAGCACGCGGTCCCTGGCTCCCCGCCAAGCCACAGCAGCTGCCATTGCAACAGTCAGGCACCCCAGGGAAGGGGGACCGGGAAGCCTGCACCTCTTGCCCAGACGGGGCAGAGGGCTGACGCCCCACCCTGGAGCACACCCTCCCCTCTTCCTCTCATGTTCCTGCCTGGGGCAAAACCCAGGAGGGGCTACGAGAGCAACCAGGCAGACAAGAAGCCAGGTCCCCTTCACCTGAACCTGAGCTTCCTGCAGAACCCAGGGCCACCCACTAAACACCCAGAGTCACCAAGTGAGCCTGTTGAGGCCATATTTGGTAGATGCCATGCAGTGTGTGCACTAGAGAGCACACCTGGGCCCTACCTGGCAGGTGCTGTGCAGTGTGTGAATGAGGACAGAAGGGGGCGCTGGTGAGCACGCCCAGCCAGCCCCTACCTGGCAGGTGCTGTGCAGTGTATGAATGAGGACAGAAGGGGGCGCCAGCGAGCACACCTGGGCCCTACCTGGCAGGTGCTGCGCAGTATGTGAATGAGGACAGAAGGGGGCGCTAGCGAGCAGGCCCGGGCCCTACCTGGTAGGTGCCATGCAGCGTGCTGATGAGGAGGGTGATCTGCTCCACCACGGCCAAGTCCTTCTGCAGGTCCTGAAGCTCCTGGAAGAGGCGCGGGGGGCCGAGGTACACCTTGTCTGGGGGGACAGCGGGTGGCGGGGCGGAGACCCAACTCAGCCCCAGGCATCGGGCACACACAGACCCACTCCCTAGCCCAGGGGCCGGCCTTGGAGGAGAACCCTCGGGCCCGCGCCCTGACAGAGGCGCCCATCCCAGGGCCACCCAAGAGGGGGCGGCACCTTCATGGGCCCAGGGCCACCCAAGTGGGGGCGGCACCTTCATGGGCCGCTGGGGCGAGGGGCCTGCCCACGTGGGGGCGGGGCTAGCACACGGCACAGCAAGTGCGGGTGTGTCCCGGCACCAGCCCTGCTCGGACAGGCTGGGGAGAGACTCCAACATGCCCACGGGGGCCCAGAGATCCCCTCTCTGGTGACGCTGGTGCTGGGATCAGGGGCAGAAGCAGGAGAACCAGCACAGGCCGTGTCGGGCAGTGGGAGGATGTGGTCAGGGCCACTGTCAGCCGTGGGAGCTGGAAGGGTGTGTGGGCCACCGGACGGGCCAGTCTTCCCTGCCCGTTTGTGTGACGGGCATCTAAGGGGCTCTAGGGCCAAGCTCTGGGGGAACCAGGTCAGGGTAGCCACCGCATGAGGAACGAGAACAGCCAGGCCCTGGGGAGGGGAGGAGACACGCCCACGAGGATGGGCAAGGAAAGGGCCTGCGGTCACCCGGGGCGGGAGAGCTATGGGAAACATGGGTCAGGTGGCCCCAAGGCCAACAGGCCCTGCCCGTGCCCCCGCCCATGGGTGAGGCGTTTAGGTCACCAGCCATGTCAAGTGATGGACCCACAGCCTCAGCGGAAGGTCGTGATGAGGGAGTGAGGGGCCAGGAGAACCCACCAGCCCTGAGCCTGGCCCCAGAGGGTGCCAGGACAGGGGTCCCCCCAGACCCCTGCAAGGAGGGCACACTGAGGCATGGGCAGCAGCCACACCTACCAAGGTCCACAGGGAGGGAGGTCAGGGCCAGCAGGTGCACAGAGCGAGGACAGGGCCTCTGTATCTGTGGTGTGTGTGAGTGTGTGTGTGTGTCCCTAACCCACTGGGGCAGGGTTCACAGACTCACTCTGGCCCTGTGTCTGTGTCTATGTGTGTGTGTGTGCGTGTGTGTGTACTCCTGTCCCCCCCACCCAGGGCGGGGTGGACAGACTCACTCTGGGCCTGTGTCTGTGTCTGTGTCTGTGTGTGTGAGTGTGTGTGCCCCTGTATGTGAGTATGTGTGAGTGTGTGTGTGTGTGTGTGTGTGTGTGTGTGTGTCCCTGACCCACCCCCCCTGGGGCGGGGCGCACAGACTCACTCTGGGCCTGGCCAGCCACAGAGGCCTTCTTGGCGCCGGCATGCTGGATGAGCACGTTGTCCTTCTCGTAGGAGCTGCCCTCCTGGCCCACCTCCACCACCTGCACCTGGGGCAGCGCCGTGTTCCACTTCACCACGTACTTGGGCCCCAGCGGCACCAGGCTGCTGATCTCCAGCTGGCCCCTGCCGTGACAGAGGGGACAAGGCCCATGGAGCGCCCGCCCCACCACGGCTGCCCGCCCAACCCCGAGCGCCCACCACTCCTGCTGCTCCACATGCCAGCTCAGCCAGGCACCTCGAAGCCCAAGCACCAGGTGTCGGGGACAAAGGCCGGCAGCCAGAGCACAAGCGTCACCAGGCCCCAGCCCCAGGTCCAGAGCCGGGTGTCCCCGGGCCATCCCCCCACCCCCCGCCCCTACCTGTGGTTGGCAGGCCTGGGGAGAGAGACAGGAAGGAAGGTGGTTACTGCTATGGACCGACAGTCACAGGGCTACAGCCGCTGGGGTGGACAGATGCCCCGTAGGGGAGGGCAGAGGGGACCACGGCACGGGCCTTCTTGCTGGGCCCTGCCAGGAGCTTTGCATTACTCTGGACAAGGCCACTGACACTCACAGGTCACGTCACTCTGCCCCACTCACATCTCCCAGCTGGCCCCGGGCACCCGGAAGGAAGCCAGAGAGGCCGGCCCCTGCACGCTATCTCGAACAGAACAGGACTTCGAAATCACACGGCAGCCTGGAGAGGTGTGTGATCGTGTGAGTATGTGAGTGTGGGAGAGAATGAGGATGTGAATGGGTGAATGTGTGTGTGTGGCTGGGGGTATGGCTCAGCTGTAAAGTGCACGCCTCACACAAAGAGAAAGAATAATAATAATTATGATGATGACAATGATAATGAGTGAAATGTGTAAATGAGTCCAAGTCCATGAATGAAGGCCTGTGAATGGGTGTGTGAGTGAATGAGTGAGCGAGTCGATATGTGAGTGAATGGGGGAGTGTGGGTCTGAGAGTGTGTGGCTGGGTGTATAAAGTGAGTGAGTGAACGGGTATGAGTGAAAGCATGAGAATGATGGGTCTGTGTGTGAATGAGTGAGCGGGCCAGTGTGTGGCTCAGTGAGAGGGTCTGTGTGTGTGAGTGGGTGGGTCTGTTTGTGACTCAGTGGGTCTGTGTAAATGGGTTTGTGTATGATTGGGTAGGTCTCTGTGTGTGTGAGTGGGTCTGTGTGTGAGCGAGTGGGTCTGTGTGTGAGCGAGTGGGTCTGTGGGGGGCTGGGTCTGTGTGCAAGTGGGTCTTGTGTGAGTGGATCTGTGTGTGATCGAGTGAGAGCTGCTCGACTAATCACCGCTGCACAGATCTGAGTCCCCTGAGAGAATCCCGTCTTGTCTAAGTGTGACCTTGCACAAAGTAACTGCACTGTAGCACCGTCCTCCCGTTGTCCATCGATTTGCTCGAGCGGACCCAATAACGTCTTCATTGTGGGACTTGTTGTTGTTACTGTGTTTGGCATATCAAATACAACACGGGTAGCTTGCCAGGCTTTGCCATGTGGGCGAGATACTCTCGATAGCTTGCACAAAGTAAGGACTCAGTGACTACCTGGCAGGGCCAAAAATGGCTGGGCATGGGGGAGAAACGGTCAGTGCCTGAGCAGCGGGCTCGGGGCTGGACACAGAACATCCCCTGGGCTTAGTGTCAGGACTCGGGAAGGGAAGGAGGCGTCACAAGGACAGCCGCTGCCCCAGGCCTCTCAGAGGGGGTTGAGGCCCCTAAAGTGTCGGTTTTTGGCAGAGCCCCGAGAGGGAGGGGCGGGGAGCTGGCACATGGGGGGGGGCAGCACAGGGGGCGGCCGGGGCCCACTCACTTGAAGTTGATGTTGGCACAGACCAGCATGTCGTTGAGCAGGAAGACCCGACGCTCCTTGGACTTGATGAGCTGCCCACGGTCCCCGTACACCGTCTCCGTCAGCGTCTCACACAGGAGCAGCTGCCGCTGGCCCGATGTCAGCAGCTAGGGGTGGGCACAGGGCACGGTCACACACGGGCACACGCAGGGACAGGGTGCGGGGACTGGGAAGGAGGTCGGCTGGCGTTCTCTCTCCCTCTCTCCATTTCTCTCTCCCTCCCTGCCTCTCTCTCTCTTCCTCTCTCTCCCTCTCTTTCTCTATCTCCCTCTCTCCTTCTCTCTCCCTTTCTTGTTCTCTTTCTCTCTTCCTCTCTCACTTTCTTCCTCTCTCCCTCTCTTCCTCTTTCTTTCTCTCTTTATCTCCCTCTTTCCCTCTCTCTCCCTATCTCTTTCTCTCTCGTTCTCTTCTCTCTCTCTCTCTCTCTCTCTCTCTCTCTCTCTCTTTCTCTTTCTCTTCACCTCACTGCCAAGTGTGGCCTCCACCTCTGCCAGTCGGATGGAGGGATACAGGGCTGAGTCTGGGGACTGGCAGAGCCCAGTGTCAAAAGAAAATAGAACCCACGGCTGAGTTTGCAAGGATTTCAAGACAGCAAGAGCAGAACATTCCAGCAAAGGTGGGGCCCTCCCAAGAGTGGCCCCAGGGGAAAGGCCAGCCCTGTGTGGCACCCCTACCCCCGCACCCTCACCCGCAGGGCAGCCTCAGCCGGGGCTAGGGTCAGACCTGCCGGCCAGGAGTGACCCCGCCCAAGTTCAAGCAACATGCCAGGGGTTGCTCCTGGGCACTCAGGGTGCTGCCCGCAACCAAGACAACAACAAAAACTAAAGACCCAGAGCCAGAGAGGTGACAGTGGATAGAGTGCTGGCCTGGCATGCACCAACCTGGCTTGAACCCCGGCACCTCACAGTGTCCCCCAGGCCCTGCCGGGAGGGATCCTGAGCACAGAACAAACACAAAACGTCAGCAACGAGGCCTAAAGCGATAGCACAGCGGGCAAGGCATTTGCCTTGCACGTAGCCGACCCGGGTTCGATTCCCAGCATCCTATATGGTCGCTCGAGCACCACCAGGACTAATTCCTGAGTGCAGACCCAGGGAGTAACCCTGGTGCATCACTGGGTGTGACCCAAAAAGAAAAAAAAAATCAGCAACAACAGAGGAATGGCATCCAAACAGCGGGTTTGGACAATGAGACCGTGGCTGAGTTCCCCCTCCCCCGCCCGCTGTGGGGGATGCTGGCGGCCTCGAGCTGCCCAGGGACCACAAATCTCAGGCTGGACACCAGGAACTGTGGCCAGCACCGAGACTGACGGGAAAATGTCTCGCCTACAGGGCAGATTTAGGGATAGGGACGCGGTCAGCAAAATTCACCGCCCCAACCCATGACCCAGATGACCTTCTTCTATGCCTTTTTGGGGTGGGAACCGGTGGTGTGGCTCAGCAAGTGGCCTGCAGGGGTCACTCCTGGTAGCACCCAGGGGGCCACATGGTACCTGGGATCATACCTGGCGCTTGTGCAGGGAAAGCATGCACTTGGGTCCTTCCAAGTATCAAGACCCCGACAACCATTGTAATCCTGTCCCTCTTTCCCTATTACCCAATGGAAAGGGCCAACCAGCACCAACCCTTCCTGTTCTTCTACCAAGAAACCTGTCCCTCGGGCCTGCACATGGGTCTGCAGGAGCCAAAGGCCATGGTGAACGGACCACGGAACTTCCCACTTGGCATCTCAGGGGCCTGACAGTCCCAGGAGGCCGTAGGCTGAAGTCAGGCCCTTGCTGTCCCCACACTAGGTCCCAGCTTGCCTCTGGGAGAGACTGAAACCCACCAGGCCCTGCTGCTCCTATCACAAGGAAGACCAGGGGTCCTCGGGGACCCCCTACCCAACGCTAGGGCTGGGGACTACTTCCCGCAGCTTCCAACAAACTGGACATCATTCCATGACTGCACGGCTGCACCCCGGGGGTACGCGTGTACCCAAACAGAGCGCCTAAGTTTCGGGCAGCCCCTCTCAAAACCTAGAGGCGGCTTCGAAGAAAATAAAGGAGAAATAGGGGATGCAAACGGGAGCCCTGCTGTTGCACAAACAGCCCCGCAGGACCGAGTCAGCACATTGGGAAAGGAGCTGCGGGTTTCGCTGGGGGCACGCCCAGTTTCATTTCTGCTCCTGCCAGTGGTTGTCAGAGGAAAATCACTACCAAGTCCTCAAAACTGGCTGAGGGGTGGGGGAAGGTCCCTGGCAGGGGAGAAGGTGCAGAATAGGCCCACCAGCTCACTCTCCAACGCACCCCATGGGCCTCAGACATGCCATATACACTTGACAGGTGGGGAAAGTGAGGCTCAGGGCCTTCTATTCCTGCCCCAACACCAAACAGGGCTTCCCGAGATCCCAGAATTGCCCACGTCTCCCCAATGCCCAGGCGACAAGGGCAGCCAGCAGGGAGGGAAGAGCTTTGACTGCCCCGGGGAGTCCTTGTCCCCACCCAACTCTCCCCGTGGAGGCTGCCCAGGCAGAGAGAGAGGAAGAGATGCCCTCTCCAGCTCAGATAGAGAAGGGAGCACCAAATAAAGGGTGTTGGGAGGATCCTCCCAGGATGAGAGATACATGCTGAAAGTAGACTATAGACCGAACATGATTGCCACTCGATGCCTCTTTTGCAAACCACAGCACCCAAAAGGAGAGAGAGAGAACAAGAGGGAATGCCCTGCCACAGAGGCAGGGTGGGATAAGGGGGATGAGGGGTGGGAGGTTATACTGGGATCTGTGGTGGTGGAAAATGGGCACTGGTGGAGTGATGGGTACTCAATCATTGTATAACTGAAACCCAAACACAAAAATTTATAAGTTCTACAACTGTACCTTATGGTGTCTCACTAATAAAAATTAAAATAAAAAATTAAAATAAAAATAAAAAAAAGAGACACCCTCTCAACGGCAGGAAGGAGAGGCCAGAAGGCACCACCCCTGTATACAGAGACCACTCTGTGCCAGCACGGGGGTGCTCTGACAGAAATGTCTGGGCACAGGTGAGCACAGATGGGCATGCCTGGCAGAGTCGCATACAGACAGTACTTCCTGGCAGTACCTTTCAGGGCGTGTTTGGAACACCCTGGTGTGAGTGAACACGGAATGGGACGAGTGGGCACACACTTCCATGGGGAAGCATAGATTGGCACAGGTGAAAACATGCTGCATTCATTGGCATAGACTCGGGTAGGTGGGCACTGCTGGCACGCCTTGTCCTGGGTGGGCATGTGCATAGACTCGGGTAGGTGGGCACTGCTGGCACGCCTTGTCCTGGGTGGGCATGTGCATAGACTCGGGTAGGTGGGCACTGCTGGCACGCCTTGTCCTGGGTGGGCATGTGCAGGCACTGCACCAGGGAATGCACCTGGGGTGGACTGCACCAGTGAACACACACTGGCATGGATTGGCACCAGCTAATCTGCACTGGCACAGGCCAACAAGGGTTGGTATCAGATGATGTCCATCCTTGCTTGGCACAGGTTGGCACAGGCTAGCATGTGACTGTGTGGGCTGGCAATGATTGGCATGTGAGGCACAGTATTGACTGGCATAAGCTGGCAAAGCTGGTGTGGTGTGACTTGGCTCAGGTTGGCCTGGGTGGCACTGATTGACATGGGGTAGCATAGGGTTGTTATTGACTGGCCCAGATGGCATGAGTTGGCAAAAAATTGTTTGGGCGACACTTTCTGGCACACAATGGCACAGACATGAATCACGTAGCATGAGGTGGCATGGACTATCACCAGCTGGCATGGGGGGGCAGATTGGCACTGGCTGGCATAGCTCAACATGGGATGGCATGGATTGTGCTGAATGGTATAGACTATGGTTGGCACCAATTGCACGTGTTAGCATGTACTGTCATGTGACAGAGCATGCTGGCATGGTTGGCACAGGTTGGAACTGACTGGCATGAGGTAGGAGACTGGTGCAGATTGGTACCAAGTGGCACAGGTGGTACAGATTAACATGGGTTGGCACCGACTCCACGTGTTGGCATGTGCTAGCACATGTTGGCATGGGTTGTTGCTGATTGGCATTGGGTGGTATGGGGCACTGAGGATTAGCAGTAATGGGCAGAATCTGGCAATGGCTGGCTCAAGCTAGAATCTGTGGACAGTATGGCATGGGGGCATGGTTGAATACTAGTGGGCAGAGACTGCCATGGTGGGCACTGGCAGGCATCAATGCACACAGATTGGCACTAGTTGGCATGACTTTGCATGGGCATAGGCACAGACTAGTTGGCATAGGCTGGTTTGCGAGGGCAAAGGCTGGCATAGGTGGCATGGGTTGGCAGTCTGACATGGATGGACGCTGACTGGGACTAGACAGCACAGCCTGGCACAGGTGGGTACGGGCAGACACAGCCCAGATAAAGTCTTTTTGGGGAGCGACATCCCAGAATATAGATGTGGGGGCCTGGAGTAGGGAGGACCCAGTGGCCCCACTACAGAAGGATCCTCTAGGAGGGAAGGTGCCCTTGCCCGGCCCCACCCTGTGGAACAGGCAAAACAAGCCCTGGAGGTCAGGGGTCACCCCAGGGACAGGCCCGTGTGGGCCCCGGGAAGCCAGGCCAGTTCTGCAGAGCCTATGAGAAGGCCCACAGCTCTGAGTGTTGGGGCTCTCTCCACAGCTACTTCCATCTGCTGACACCCGCCATATGGGCACACGAGTGAAGAGTGCTGAGATGCCAGAGCCCAACAGGACCCTGGATCCTACCTGCACTGTCAAGGCTGGGGTGGGTGGGGGGGTCCACACTGGCATGTCAAGCGAGAGCCTGTGGAGGACTCTAGAATAATGGCCGTGCCTGACTCTGCTGATGCCAGGAGGCGCCTCCCCAGGGGACTGGAACCCCCCAGCCTGGCCCTGTTCTGTGTTCGGGGCACACAGACCCACCACACCCCTTCCCGTAAGAACCACGCAGGGCCCTGTGTATGTGCCAGAGGTCACTTTGCCCTGGCCATTCCAGTCTAGCTCCACCCTGCGGGGGGTGAGAGGGGCCACCAGGGAAGCAGCGGTGACTAACTTTCATGTCCCGGCCTTGGACTTTGAAAATCACAGCATTCTACGGACTCATTTGAAAAGCCTTTTTCAATTTTGACTATTCCAAAGTTTCAACTGCAAAACACCTAGCACCAGTTTTTTTTTTTCCTCTTTGTATCTTTCAAAAACAACCCAGGTGGGAGTCTCCAAGGGCTCAGGACTCCAGGGCCACTGTCCTTTGCCGGGAACCTGGCCAGAGGGCAGTGGGGATGCAACTGGGCCCCCCTCGATTCACAGGGAGCAGGTGAGGTTCAGAGAGGCTAGGGGCTTCCCCGGGGCTCCACAGCAAGCATGAGGGAGGAGGGCGGAATATGGAGACTCTGGCACCCAGTGTCGCAAGCATCATCCCAGGACAAGCTTCCTGGTCCCTTTCTGGCACCCGCTCTGGTGAATAAAAGCTGCTGGGGTCCTGAGTGGCGTACAGTCGGGGATGTGAGAGAGACTGGCCCTGCGAGAAGGCAGGTCGACCCCCGGGATGCGGGGAGCCTCCTCTCGGGGGGACAGGGGTCGCCGGCTCTCACCTTGTTGAGGCTGCTGCGGTCGCTGACGCTCTTGGTCAGCTGCTGGATCTCGGCCACCTGGTCGGCCAAGCGCTTCTGCTCGTTGAGCTTCTCGGCCAGCGTCTCCAGCTCAGTGAGGGCCAACTGCAGCGAGAGCCGGTCCGGGTGGCCCCGGGGCGTGTTCTTCAGCATGTCCTGTCGGGGGCCCAGACAGAGCGTCAGGCCAGAGGCTCCCCCCCCCCCCCCACACACACACCCAGACCTGCTGGGAGGCTGCAAGGGGGGACGGGTGCAGGGGGCCCCGGGTACCTGGAGCAAGAGGATGAACTGCGGGAAGCGCTGGATGGGTTTCACCATCAGCCCGTAGAGCGTGACACGGTCAGGGCTGCACAGCTGCCGCCGCTGTGGGAGGAAGAGAAAGAGACCCCCCCACCCATCACTCAAGGGCCTCACAGCCTGGGCGCCACCCGATCACCCGAGGCTCCTCAGCCTGGGCTTCCTGGTCGCTCGAGGCGCTCACATCCTGCGTTCTTCCTCCAGGCCTGGGACTCTACTTGGCCTCCAGCCCAGGGGAAGCACATGAGGGTCCCCAGCTCCACAGCCGGGGTGCCTGCATTCCACTCTCCCCTCTAAAAACATTAGCTGGCAGAGTTGCCCAAGGGGCTTCTAGAAGGCTGGAGACGGCCGCCCCTGGGAAGGTGCAGTCTAGCCCACAAAGACCCGGGTCAGGGCAGCTGCTTCCCGCCCACTGCCCACCCGCTGCCCATCCCTTGAGCCTGCTCTGCTGGTACCCACCAGGTTGCTGCTATCATGAAGCCCCCGGCCTGCATTCTGCCTGGCCGGCAGCCACTGGGCCTGGGCCTACAGGCCTTGAGCCTTCTCTCCCAGGACCACTGCAGGCTGGCCCACACCTCCGTGCTAAGACAACCCCTCCCCCATCGCCCTCCGGACCCTGGGCCCGAGCCCCTCACAAAGTCACCCTGAACCATATGGGGGAGGGCAGTGGCCGCCAGGCAGGGCTAGCGATAAGGGAGGGGCTTCCTCATCTGACAGCGCCTGCCTGGGAATCCTTCTCCTTCGGGGAGGCTGTCTACAGCCACACGAGGTCTGTGGTCAGCTGACGCCCTGAGGAATTTCCCTCCAGGACAGCTGAGCCCCATCCCCCGTCCCAGGCCCTGGGCAGAGGAGCGAGGCCTTAGAGAGCTGGATCACCCCCACCCCCACCGAACAGGCGCAAAGCGAGGCTCTGCCCCCAGAGCTGGGCCCCAGCCCCCTCATCCTCCCCCCCCAAGGCACCCGCAGAGCCTCACCTTGAGGAACTCCAGGAAGGCAGGCTTGGTGAGGCAGGCCTTCTTGATGATGGACATGGCATTGGTGAAGTTGTTCACATAGTCACTGTACACGTCCAGCACCATGGACTTGGAGAACTGCGGCCCCCCCCAGCCCGCGGGTCAGGTCAACACTGGGGGTGGGCGGCCAGCAACGCCCCCCCCCGCCCCCATGCTCCCCTCTCCATAGCCTTGAGCTCAGGGAACCCGTCACCCCCAAATTGGGATATCCATCACCCCCTGAGTCAGACTACCCATCACCCCCCAAGTTGGAGTACCCATCACCCCCTGATTTGGGGTACCCATCACCCGCTAAGTTGGGGTATTCATCACCCCCCTGAGTCGGGGTACCTGTCACCCCTGAGTTGGGATACCCGTCATCCCCCTGAGTCAGGGTGCCCATCATCCCCAGAATCGTCACCCACCAAGAAGCCACCTGACTCCCCAGGTCGCGGGCCGGTGGGCTGTGGACAAGCGCATGTAGGGGTGGTTTCCCTGGCCCCAGCTGCCAGCCTCAGCTCCACCTCTCCCTTCCCTTCCTCCTGGCTCCCAGCAGCAGTCAAGACCCGGTGGGCCCCTGCCCTCAAGGCAGGCTCAACACCATTCACAAGGGGAGGGTCCGCCTAGCCCCTTGGAGACACCCACCAGGGCCTGAGGTTCTGAGCACTGGGGCACAAACAAAAAGGGGGGCTGGGAAGACCCAGCCTTTGATCTGAGGCAGAACACTCGCCCGGCCGGCCCACCGGGAGACCCGGGGCTCAATCCCCAGCAGCACAGGGAGGAAAAAAATGACATTTGGGCAGAAATTCCAAAGACCTCCATCAGATCAAGGTGAAGCATCCAGGGGCCAGAGAGACAACAGCACAGCGGGGAGGGCATTTGGCCTTGCTCACGGCCCAACCCGGGTTCCATCCCCCACCTCCCATATGGTCCCTTAAGCACCGCCAGGAGTGATTCCTGAGTGCAGAGCCAGGAGGAACCCCTGAGTATCGCCAGGTGTGATAAAAAGTAAAAGGGGGTAAGTTCCCCTGACAGCCTGACGGGGACCCCACCTGCCACTGGACAAACCCCAAGTTTGGCACATACCCCCTCACTGCGCACATGGGGATGCCCGGCCCGGAGCACGCCCGCCCAGGGCAGGGAGCAGGGCCCAGTGCGGGACAAGCGCCCATGTGTCTGCCCCTGTACCCCGCTTCCCGGGGACCGAGGCATGGTCCATCAGGCCAGCACGAGGCCTCGGGCCTCCCCCACACACCACAGCTGAAGGTCTCTGGGGTCTTCCCGGTGCCCAGCCCTGAGTTGGGAGTTGGAGGGACACTCAGACCCCCATGGCAGGCTGGGGGCCACCTACCGAGGCCACGAAGAGGTCCCCAATCTTCTCGGTGGCATCCCACTCGGCCACGCGGGAGGACAGGGCGATCTGGAACATGGAGTGACAGTGCAGGATCTCCCTCACGCGGAAGAACACCACCTGGCACTTCCGCAGGCTCAGCGCCTTGGGCTCCATCTCCACCAGCGGGTTGCGGTAATCCTGTGGGACAGCCCGGAGGCGGCAGTGGAGGCAGCGGGGTCAGCGCCCAGCACTCTGTGGGCTGCGGATGGCAGGCTGCCCCCACCCCTGTCTGTCTTTTCAGAAGGCTCCACAGGGATGGACACAGCATCCCGGTGCCCTGGCTCCTGTAGACCCTCCCCCAGGCTGGCCTAGGGCCCGCCGTGTACCCGGGGGGCCCAGCCAGGTCCCTGGACCCAAGAGCTACACTCCACCAGGTGCCACCTTCCTCCCTAGCTGCCTGACCCTCCCGTGGGAGCGGAAGTGAGGGTCCCTGAGCACCCCCCAGCCCACCCCAACAGCCCCTTCCCTAGGGGCCTCGCTGCCAAGACCCACCCTCCAGGGCTGCGGGCTACAGACTGGGGGTCGAGGTTTGGGGAGGGGGAGACAGAGGTTCAGCCCCCAGTACCCCGGGGGGCTCCCTCGGTGGGAGGGGGGGTCCCACGGTTGCTCCCACACGGTCTCAGAACCAGAGCCAGCTCATGAGAACACCCAAGCAGTGCTAGTGTCCCTCAGGCACCCCCATTGGAGGTCCAGCCGGCCCACACGTGCACTGGCTGTCACCCCATCCTAAACTGCTGTCCCCAACACTCCGTGCCAAGTGTCCTGAGTATCCGCCCACCGCCTGCCAGAGGCCCTGGGGTCATACCTGGAGCACCCGCTTCAAGGAGTCCACGTAGCTGCCTTCACTCTGCACAATGGAGCCCAGAATGTGTCTGCGGACCACCTGCTCAGGCCGGAGAGCCAGTCAATCAGTGCCACGCAGGATGGGTAGGATGGGTAGGACCCAGGGGCTCTTCTCCCAGGGGCCGGGGCCACCCTTGCTGGGCTGCAGGGAGGGTTCGAGACCCCAACCCAGGCTGGTGGCCACCTTCCCCTCTGCCTCTTCTGGGCCGCTGTGAGTCGGGTGGGATTGAGCCATACCCAGCTCCCTACCCAACCACCCTGAGCCAGGCAGGAGACCCAGCACGGAACAGGGCGGCGGCAAACATGCTGTACCAGGAACGGGCCCCCCCAGCTCTGCGGAACTGCTCCAGGCCCAGACCTGAGAGCATCCAGGCGGCTCTGCTGGGGGGGTCAAGGGCTCGCTCGCTAGGCAGCCTCAGGTGAGTGACCTCAGAAGGAGCCTGTCCCCCTGGGTCAGGATGGAGAGACTCCACCCCGAGTGACAACCCCGCCCTGCCCCTAACGGTCTCTGTGTCAGGATGTCCATAGCTGTGCCAGACATGTGCCCCCTTCCTCAGCCCACCTCACTTCAGTGGAGTGAGGGACGGGGTCTCGGGGGATGAGAGACATCCCCGGCCCTGCCCACCCTATGTATGCCAGGAGCCACCCTCAGCTCTGAGCACTGGTGAGGGTGCCCCAGGGAGAGCGGGGCCTGGAGGGACCCCCAGACTGGGTACTCTGGGGCACACACAGAGCAGGCAGGTGGGTGGGCTGACCCCAGCCAGGGTCGGTCTCCTAGGGTGGGAGGTAGCATCCTGAGCTCAAGGACTGGCCAGTGCCGCTTCCCCGCCCAGTGGCAGTGTGGGCTGTGGGAACCAGCAAAGCCCAGCACGTCTGCGAGAGCTGCACACTGGCACAACCTGGCAGGTGGCAGCACCGGCTGCTGTGGGATGAGAGCGGCTGACACGGGTGGGCACAGGTGGGCAGGGACAGGACAGACTGGCACGGATACTGCTGGCATGGGTGGGCATGGGCTGGCACTCGCTGGAACATGTCACACAGCCTAAGGTGGGCTAGCACACGTTGGCATGTACAGGGCATGGGCTGGCACTCGTGGGCATAGGCTGGCAAGGGCTGGCACCAAATAAAGCATCACTGGCTTTAGTTGGAACGATGAGGCAAAGTCTTGCATGGGCTACATTAGTTGGTAGAAGTTGGCATTTGTTGGCATGAGAAGGTACTGACTGGGAGGCTGGCACGGGTTAGCATAGGTGGCAAAGACTACAGGGGTTGACATGGATTGGCACAGACTGGCATTAGCCATCACTGGTGGGCACAAGGCTGCATGGGTTGGCCCGTGCTGGCACTAGTGGGCACAGACTGGCCAGAGCTGCTGGAGATGGGTGTATGCTACCATCGGTACCTCAGGCTGGTACCTGTGGGCACTGCTGGCATGGGTAGGCATGGGCTGGCACTAACTGGCAGTGTCACACAGCCTGGCCTGGGGTGGCATGAGTTGGCTCTTATAGGCATGGACTGGCACTAGCCAGTGGTCCTTCTCAGCTCAGGGATCTGACCAGTGCCACCTCCACCCCACCCCTGCCACCAAAGCCCATGGCAGGAAAGGTTGCTGCCACGGAACCAGCAAAGCCCTCCTGGGTCCCTCAGGTGCCCACATGGATGCCTGTGCAGGCCCCATCCCTGCGCACACGGGCTGGGAAAGGCAGCCAAGGCGGCTCAGTCCCTCCCTCCGGGGAACATGGGGACAGGAAGACCTCCCAGGGTCCCGCGGGGAGTGGGCAGCTCCCTGAGCTGGGTGCAACGGGCGCTCCTCTACCAGGGGAGCCCCACCACCCTACCAGGAGCCCAGGAGTGGCGGATCTCCTTCCCGGAGGGGGAACAAGAACTGTAAGAGCAGGGCCCCCGCAGGCCCCAGGACACGGCGGTCCCCAGGGAACCGCACAGGCAGTCTCCAAAACCTGGCAGAGACCCCCGTCCTGGCTCCCCCTGCAGGCCCAGCCCTCTGTGTGCCCCCCCACCTACATTCCCTGCCCCTCGCACACACCTGCTGAGGGCTCAGCCCCTCTGGCATGGGGCCCAGTTCCGGGGCTGGGGGCTTGATGTCCGTGACGCTGACCTCCAGGAGCCCCATGTCCTCGTCCTCTGAGTCACCTGGAAAGTCAGACGGGCTGGTGACCCCGGCACCGAGAGCCTCGCAGACCGTCATCCCAGCGACACACAGCCCAGAGGTCACCGTGGACTCTGGCAGATGGCATTCACCCAGCATGCTCCAGACCAGCCGCCCGCGAGGAGCTAAGTGCCGGCCAACACTGGGCCACGTCCTGCGGGGGGCTCGGCTCGCCGATCCTCTCTGCCACGAGTCACCGGCCTCGCTCAGCCCGTGTGCTGCTAGCCAGGCGGAGACCGGGACACCCGTGTCCCCATCCCTGGGCACTAAAAATAGTTTCCCCCCGGGCGCCTGAGAGGAGGGTGAAAATCAGCCGGGAAGAAGGGGCTGTCTGGCCTGGTGTTTCCATCCTCTGTAGCAGAAACAAAATGCAAAACACCCTTTCCCTAAAAGGGAGAACATTCAACTGCCATCTGGGCCCCTGGGGGAGCGAGGATGGGCCTCGGAGGGAGGGCAGACTGGGGGGCAGGAACAGAGGGGCCCGGCACCCACAGAGACCAGGCCCCCGGGAGCTGCGCCCTGGCTGGTCCTGGCTCCAGCCACCAAGCCACGGCAGGACATAAGAAAGAGAGAAGTGGGGTGTCGCCTAGGGGGGCCAGCGGGGACCCCCCCACGCGGGCCCTTACCTGAGCAGGAGACAGAAGAGGAGGAGGAGGAGGGGCAGCGGCCCAGGGGCCGGGGGTGGGGGTGGGGGAGGCCCTCCTGCCTGGCCCACATGATGCTGCGGGCATCGCCGCGCACCCACCCCAGCCGCGGACCCGGCCGCTTCCGCTTCCCCCACGCCACGCTGGGCAGCATTCTTGGCCGGTGATTCGAGCGCGGCCGCGGCTATTAATAACGGCTCTGGGGGGAGGGCCACTGGGGAGAGGCTCCGGGCAAGCGGGCGGGAGGGCAGGGCCCAGAGGAGGTGGACCGGGAGCTGCTCCCCCGAGGAGGAAGCAGTTCCTTGGCCTGCCCCTGACCTCACTGAGGGCCTGTGCACCCCTCAAAGGCTCAGCCCCGCACGCAGCCGTGGGAAACCCACCCCTCGGGGAAACAAGGGAACACGCATGTGGGATCACATGGGCTGTCAGCCCACCTGCTCTGGGTATGCTGAACTGTGCCGTCCGTCAGGGGGGGAAACTGAGGCAATGAGGAGTGGGGCAAAGAGCACCACCTTCCCTGAGGGTGCTGAGTCTGCCTGGCTCAGAAGCAGCCTGTGCTGAACTGGCCTGGGTGTGGCCCCAGTGAGGCCCTGTTTCCTCTCCTCTGCAGCTGCCCAGGGTGGGTATGAGGACTAGGCAAGCACCCGCAGAGAGGAAAGTCGGCTGGCACGCAAGAAACACGGAGAATGCTGACATCCAAGAAAGCTTCCGCTGAGGGCCTTCGCGTCCTGTCTCAGGGCCTTTGCATGTGCCAGCTCCCAATCAGGATTGCCTGTGCACTCCCCTGACCTGGGCTTTCCATCCCGCTTCTCTGCCTCCTTTGCCCTGACCTTCTGTTTCCATGTCCCCCCAGAGACACATCCTCTGCACTCCCACCCAGGGCTCCCCGTGTGTACCCCACCGTACCCCTTATCTTCCATAGACAAAGCCTCTCCAGCGGGAGGCCGGCCCTACTGTGGTACTGCGTGATCATACTCTGGGGTCCAGAACCCCAGGACCAAGCGGGCACCCCTCAGACCGAGTCCCGGAGGCTGGGCCCAACCAGCGAGCATCATGCAGTCACTTCCTGCCTGGAGCGGCGTGGGAAACGCCACCTCACCCAGCCAGTGGCCCGGGCCAGCACTGGGCTAATGGGGCTGGTGGGGAGGGGACGAGATGGCCAGAGCAGCAGGCCAAGTGCACAGCGGGGACCCTGAGAGGAGACGGCCACACAGCCAGCAGGACCGGGGAACACTGCCCAAGGAACCCTGGACGGGAGAGCAGTCGCGCTCCCAGCCCCTCGTGGCCCTACCCCCAGGCCCTCTGGGCCTCGCCCCGAGCCCCTCCAGCCCGGCTCACCGAGGACGTCCTTCCTGTGCAGGAAGGACACTTTGCGCAGGACAGCGATCCTGGTCTTCTCCAGCCCGTCCTTGGTCCCGCTCTTGGCGGCCTTCATGAGCTGGGTCATCTGGGCAAAGGCAGAGCAGCTCATCAGAGAAGCCGTGGAGGCACCTGGGTGGGGGGGTGGGGGTCTGTCCCACCCCCTCCCCAGCCAGGCCACAGGCCTTGGGACCCCAGGGAGGTGGCCGGGGCGGTGAGGAGGGAGAGTGAGAGAACCTGGGCACCCACGACCTGCCTCAGGGACGTCAGGGGGTGGCAGGGGCTGGTTCCTTCTCTCTAGATGCAGGGGAAGGTGCGACGGCCGGGCCTGTTTTCCCATCCCATCCCCACCACTTCCCCAGGGGGGCCCTGACCTCACGCTGCAGCCTCAGTTTCCCCAGGGAGACCCAGCCGGGCCTGGGAGGAACAGATGGGGTTTCGGGGAGGTGTGGTCTGCTGGGGAGGGGCAGGGTGGGGTGGGGGGTGGGGGGAGGAGAGACAAAAGGGGCTGGGCAGAGCCCGGCGTCTGCTTTAGGGCCAGAGGAGGTCTCGCAATCCCATCCGCTGAACCCAAATGAGGAAGCCCTCCCTCGTCCCCGAAATAGCCAGGCTTCTCCCTGGGCTCTGCCCGGGAAGAGGGGGCAGCTGGGCTTGCCACAGGGCAGGGCGCAGCTTCCCCTGGGGTGGGGGAGGGGCTGGGGCGCAGTGAGCTCGGCTGCCGGTGCCTGGGGGAGCCCCATGGGGCCTGTACCCCAGCAGGCTGCAGCCCGTCACCCACGCCTGGGCCCCCCGCCCAGCCTTACGCCCTGCGGACGCACACAGAGCGCACTGTGGGAACAAGAGGACTGGGGTGGGGGGCGGGGGGGTGTTGGTGCTTCAGCTAGCAGGGGCTGCCGGTAAGAGGCTGAGGCACCGCAGGGGGCCCTGGGGAGCCCGGCTCCTTCCTCCCTGGCGCCTCGGCTGAAGGTGGGGGGCATGCATCGGGGGGACACACTGCTCTCTGCTAGGGCACCTTCCTTCCGCCAGCACCTTGGTCCCCAGAGGAAGGACTGGCCAGGCACTTCATGCAAAGGTAGGCAAGAAGGGTTACTGAGCCCTGAGGGGGTGGGCGGCCGTCCGGGAACCAGGCTGGAAACAGGGAAGGGGCTGTGTAGGCTGGTCCTCTCTGCCTCTAACAGGTACAATCCTAGAGGAGCGAGCCCTGGCCCCGGGGGGTAGGGGGATGGGGTGGTGGCGGCTAACGGATGCCTCTGAGAGTCTGACACTGGCGGAGACATTAAGCCCAGAACGCTCACTCCCGCGGGGGTCTGCCCCCTAGTCGAGAGATCTCCGCCACAGACCCCAGCTCCTTCCTGTCGGGAAGCCCCCAGGAGGCCGTACCATAAATGCCTAAGGAGGGGGCACCTCAGAGGCCCCTCTCCTGGCTCGTCCCCGGGCAGAAAGAGAAAGACAGAATGGGGCTGGAGCGATAGCACAGTGGGTAGGGTGTTGGCCTTGCACGCGGCCAACCCGGGTTCGATTCCCAGCATCCCATATGGTCCCCGAGAACCACCAGGAGTGATTTCTGAGTGCATGAACCAGGAGTAACCCCTGTGCATTGCCGGGTGTGACCCAAAAATCAAAAAGAAAAGAGAGAGAGAGAGAGAGAGAGAGAGAGAGAGAGAGAGAGAGAGAGAGAGAGAGAGACCAGAGGCAGCTGGATGGTCAGGAGCAGGCGCTTTGCCTGCAGGAGGCCGGGGGTCAGCCCCAAGCACCCAGGGGAAGCAGGAGGAGCCCCTGAGCACCGCAGAGTGTGACCCCAGCAAAAACCAAACCAAAGAAAAAGAGCAAGGGACGAACATCGGGAGGGCGTCCCCAAGTCCGCCCTTCCCGATGCCCGTCCCCCTAGGCAGAGGAGGCTTGGGCAAGTCCCCTTGTCCCCCACCCTGTTCCTCATGTGCCCTTGCCTCTCTGCTCTGGGCAGGTTAAACCACCCCCACCCCAAGAGGTTCCATCAGAGGGTCTGCAAACTATAAAGCACTGCCCTCCCGGGAGGCTTCCGGCTCTGAGGACACGGGCAGGGCTACCGGCCAATGGACGCCCAGGCTCTGGCCCACAGACGCCCTGGTTTAAACCCCAGCTCTGCTGCTGACCTCTGGCGTGACCTCACGGCCAGCAGCTTCGGTCCGGGCATTGGGACGGAAAGATGAGAGGCAGGAGGTGACAGAGACCGCCCTCGCCCCCATGGCCACGCCGAGGGCTGGATCTGCGGACACCCACGTGCTTCCCCAGCCAGGGGACGGAGGCTCAGAGAGATCAAGAGGCCTGCCTGGGACCGCACAGCAGGAAAGAGGTAGGAGAGGACTCAGCCCCGGGCCATGGCGCATGGGAAATGCCCGGTGAACGGAAGCCACGGCTGCCCGCGTGGGTGCCCGGCTCCAGAGCCCATCTGAGAACGGCCAGGGATCTCCCAGCTCAACCTGGATCACTCTCAGCGGCTCCAAGGACGGAGGAGACAAGGTCCCCAGTGCCCAAACCTACCCGCTGTCCTGATCAAATATGCAGATTCCTGGGCCTGGGGGTGGTGGGGAGGACCTCACCAGGCTCTGTGCCCGGGGACCTGCATTTCTCAGCGTTCCCCACCCTCCACACACTGCTCTTAGGGCCCCCAACATCTGAAAACCCCACCCAGAAATTCTTGCAGACGGGGAGAGCGCCTTGCGGGAGCGGGGTCCGGCGGGGGGCGGGGGGTGGCAGGAAGAGACGGAGAGGCGGGGAGGTGGCAAGGAGCGAGCGGCGTGAGGCACTGACCCGGGTCCAGCACGGAGGTGCCCCGCGGGCAGCGCGGGCGGCGGAGCCCCTTCCCGAGAGGCGGTCGGTACCTTACAATCGTACTTCTGCTTCAGCTCCCGCATGTCTCGCCCCCCGGCGCGCAAAGCCAGGATGTCTCGCTTAGTCCTGCAGTACCTCTCCTTTAGCCTGGTCAGGTCTGGAGAAAGCTGGAGCCCCCGAGCAGCCAGGCAGAAGGAGAGCAGGGCAGAGGAGCAGGCGGGCAGGGCAGGGAGGGGACAGAACAGGGGACAGACAGCACAGGGAAAAGGAGACTCAGGTAAGGCGGCAGTGGACAGTGTGGCCGGGCAGGACTGGGGGGCTGCAAGAAGTGGCTCCAACCAGGCCCCACCCCAACAGAACAGGCCCTGGGAGGGGGGGGTGGGTCTCTGGCCCCCCCAGCCCCACCCCAGGGGTGGCGAACACTGCTCAGAGCAGGTGTGTGTCATCTCCCCAGCCCGGGACCCCGCACCAGGCTGTGACAGAGGGCGTTTCTCAGCAGGTGTGTGAGAGGGAGGGAGGGAGGGAGGGAGGGAGGGATGGATGGATGGATGGATGGATGGATGGATGGAGGGTCGGTGGGTGGAGAGATGGGTAGGCAATGAGAAAAGTGCAGGAGGGTCAATGAATGAAGGGTGGGGAAAGAGCCAGACAGATGGGAGATCAGATGCAAAGACAGGCTGATGGACAGATGGATGACTGTTGGGACAGACAGGTAAAAAAAATGGGTGATCAAAAAGATACATTGGGCTGGAACAATAGCACAGTGGGTAGGGCGTTTGCCTTGCACGCAGCCGACCTAGGTTCTATTCCCAGCATCCCATATGGTCCCCCGAGCACTGCCAGGAGTAATTCCTGAGTGCATGAACCAGGAGTAACTCCTGTGCATCGCTGGGTGTGACCCAAAAAGAAAAAAAAAAGATACATCTAGGGGGCTGGAGCGATAGTACAGCAGGTAGGGCATTTGCCTTGCACACAGCCGATCCGGGTTCGGTCCCTGGCTTCCCATATGGTCCCCCACGCACCACCAGGAATAATTCCTGAGTGCAGAGCCAGGAGTAACCACTGAGTATCACCGGGTGTGAACCCCCCACCACAAAAAAAAAAAAAAATATATATATATATATATATATATGTTCATTAGGTGACTACTGAGGAGTAAGTGGAATCAAATCACTGGTGTGAAGATTGGTGGATGGCCAGAAGCAGCGATGCCAGTCCAGCTTTGCAGCATTTCCACCAGACGGATGCTCCTGCTCTGGCCAGTCTCAAGCCACCAACAGGGAATCATTGAGCGTGACATTGAAAGGAGACGCACACAGAGTTGGTGGGCTCTTGTGAGCCAGGATGGGTTCAGGTTGACTCCAGGATGTCACTTGAGGGAGAGGCGGGTGAGGGAGGGAGGAAGGGAGGGAGGGACGGAGGGAGGGAGGGAGGGAAGGAACTGGGTGGATGGAAGAACAGGCTTAGACTCTATTGGGGAAGCAGAATGGACAGACAAGTGGACATCAAAATGATGACCTATATGAGCAAGGGATATTTGGTGAAGTATGCAGAAAATAAGACAAGCAACACTTATAAAGAAACCAACAAGCAGAAGGTTTAAGAATGCAAGCTCTGGAGGCGAGAAGGCCCACAGTCAAAACACCATTCCCTGCTTACTAGCTGGGAAAGTCTCTTTACCACCTAGTAATAGCGTCCTCACTGCTGAGGCAGAATGGTGACAACTATTCCAGAGAGTTACTGAGATTAGAAGGAGAATAATATCACGCCCAGAGCACAGCAAGTGTTCAAAAATTGAAGCTATTTTTAAACTACCTTTCAAAGGATAAGTGTTCAACATCAGTTAGATGGATGGGTAATTGGTTGAATGGATGGACCGTTGTTTGGATGGAAGAAGGCATGGAGGGAGGGATGTAAGGATGACTGAACGGATGGATGGAGTGATGGAAGGATGGAGTGATGGAAGGCTAGAAGGATGGATTGATGGATGGATGGATGGATGGATGGATGGATGGATGGATGGATGGACAAATGAAAATTTTGCTTTCAAATTATATATAATGCTGTGGCTCTACCACTTAGTGGCTGTGTGAACCCAGCCCAACCCTATCACTTAACCTTTCTGAGCCTCTTTTACTTAGGTCCTCAGAGCAATGAAAAAAGATTAAAGACTAAGAGATGAGGAAAGCTAAGTGAGACTACCGCATCAACAACACTGTGCTAGGCAAAAGGTGGGTGTGTCCTGCAAAGTAGTTGCAGGAGGACAGGAATCCCTCTGAGAGCTTCTCAGACGCCCCAGCAACTGGAGAGTTTGGGGCTCCTAAGACTGACAATGAATCAGGAGACACCCCCCACCCGCCTTCGTGAGCCTGTTTGCCCAGGAGAGGGTCAGAAAACTAGGGTCAAGGGCAGCTGCAGTGCTGGCCAGATCAGAGCAAGGCAGTGACCAGGGCCGGGCAAGCTTCTGTGGCCAGTGGCCCAGCTGCTCAGCTCATGATGACCGTGACCGTGGGAGTTTGTGAGTTGTAGGGGATCCATTCCTCCACTGAAAACAAAACAAAACAAAAGCAACAGCAACAGCAACTCCGACTGGCCGGGCTTGCTAACTGGGCAGCAGCAACCAGCCACTGCTTCCGGTTCTGCCAACGCCGGGGCTTGCTTGCCGAGGGCTGGCCTCTCCAGACCCCTAGAGGAGGGATGCCGCTGGACAGGGGCCTGGGTGGTGGTCGGACCCTCAGGATAGGACAGAACACTCTACCCAGAGCCAAGCGGTGTGGCCGCAAGCATGCAGCCGCCACGGTGCAGGAGCAGAAGCCAGTGCCACAAGCAGCGGTGGAGAGGGCAGAGGCCAAGGGAGCAGAGAAAGGCCCCGGCACATTCTCCCTGGAGAAGCTGTCCTTGCAGTTAAAAAGGGCAAGTTTCTGGCGGCCCGGCGAAGCTCAGTCAGAGCCCGACAGCCCGAGCTGGAGGCCACAAAGGTCCAAAGTTCACGGGCAATCCCCAGGAGCCCCCCCCCCACTGGACTCAGCCACGATGAAGGTCATGGGCCATGTCTCCAGGCCCTCAGTGACCCCTAGCGTCCCCGGGGGGGGGGGGGGGGGGCAGAGTGCCAGTTAAAAAGCAGCTGCTGGGGGCCTGCCCGACTCTGACTCGAGGCGCTGGAGCCTCCAATCTCACTGGCTGTGCCCCTAAGTCCCCTGCCGGCCCCAGAGCCACCCTGGGGAGCCCCAGTACCCCTGTGTCTCCTGCCCTTGGGATGGGAGACCCACCAGGGAGGTAGGGAACTAGGGAAATGACTGAGAGCAGGGGTGGGCTTGGGCCTGGGGAGCCTGCTGGTTCCACATCCCAGCACTGGGCTGAGCCCTGGGATTGGGGGGGCTCCCTGGGGCCTGTGAGGCTGCTCTCCTGAGCCCCCTTGGTCTCCCTTCATCCACTCCCTGGCTGGGACAGAGCCGGACAGGCCTCTTACTGTGCTTTCACAGGGGCTGTTCCCCTATGCTGGGGTGCCTTCCCCATCCCCCCTGCCCCCGCCACCCCTGGTCTCCAAACCCCAGTAACTAGCATTTTACTTCTGGAAACCTGCTCCAATTGGCCCTGTTCCATTTCTAAGCTGGGCAGGTGACCTGGGCTAGGGAGCAGGGACTAGCCAGTGTGCCTTGGACGAGCCCCTTCTGACGGGTGTCTTGGGAGAGATGCCAAAGGCTGGGCGTGTCTGGCCCAGGTCTCCCTGGTCTACACCCCAGGCCACATGGCACACAGGCGTCCCAGGTGTGTGTGGGGGGGGGCGGGAGATGGGGCTCCACATGCCCCCGCCAGGAAGGCCCAGCTATGGGGCGCCCAGCACTCAGGAGAGAATTTTGAGGAGCCCTGGGGAGCCCGTCTTTATCAGAGGACTCCTAGGTGTGGGTGCTGCTCTGGCCCGCACCCTTTCCCAGAGAGGGAGCCGAGACTCAGGAATAGGTAACTCACCCTTCCCCCACCCCCACCCCCACCCCCAAGTATGAGCAGGAAGGCCCCCTGTGGTCCCTGGCCCTGCCCACCTGCCCCTCTTGACGGGGAGCGTAAGAAGGACCCAGGACCCTATAAGACACTGCTCCACCGAAGGACAGAATCTGCCTTCCGGAGGCTTCTATGGGACACACTAGGGAGGAGTCAGACTGTCCGTTCACCCCCTCAGCTCCCAGGCAGACTGACCGGGGGAGAAACCCAGGCAGAGGCCACAGAGCACCAGTGCAGGGACATGGCCCAACTGCCTGCTGGGCCACCAGACACCCTGTTTGAGAGGGCCACTGCAGAAACCTGGCGAGGTCTGGACTGCTGGGCTCCATAGGCGGGCTCTGGGGGGACCAGGAGGCAACACCCGCTCCACACACACACAGCTGGAGGAAGCCCAGACTCCAGGGGAAAATGCAGTGGAAGGTCACACCCTAGGTCCCCGGACCTCCTTTCCCCGCCCACCGTGTACACGGGCGCTCGGATGCTGAGATCCGTACCTGTGGCCTGGCCCTGGCCCCACCGCCCAACTTACCCGGCAGCCCGAGGGGGTCTGGGTGCCCTGGCTCCGGGGAGACGCCGGCCCCTCTCACCTTGGGCTGGAAGGACACTCGGTGCTTGGCAGGCTGGGCCTCTGGCTTGGCGTCCTCCCCCGAGTCCTCGCTGTAGCTCTCAAACTCGCTGGAGCTCCAGCCTAGGTCATCCGCCTCCCGCAGGGCCCCGTCCCGGTGCACATCCTCGTAGGGCAAGTTCCGGTCCAGCCCTGTTGGCCAACGGAGAGAGCGGGTGAGCGCAAGCCCCGAACCCCAGCCTGCCGTGGTCAGGAGATGACCCCTCCCTGCCCACGGCCACACAACTTCTCTGGGGTCTCGGGGCTAGTTCTCAGCCTCCTGGGCATCTTTTTCCAAGGGAAAGCGATACAAGGTGCTGGAGAGATAGTACAGTGGGCAGAGCGCTTGCCTTACATGCGACAGACCCTGGTTTGACCCCTGGTCCCAGACCCCACCAGGAGTGATCCCTGAGCGCGGAGCCAGAAGTAAGACCAGAGCACCACTGGGTGTGGTCCAATATCCAAGAGACAAAAGATGAAAAGAGAAGCCCCTGGGGCTGGAGCAATAGCACAGCGGGTAGGGCATTTGCCTTGCATGCAGCTGACTCAGGTTCGATTCCCAGCATGCCATATGGTCCCCTGAGCACCGCCAGGGGTAATTCCTGAGCGCAGAGCCAGGAGTAACCCCTGTGCATCGCCAGGTGTGACCCGGAAAGCAAAAATAAAAATAAAAAAGAAAGAAAATAGAAGCCCCAAGACCGATTTCTGACTTTGGGGTCTCGCTTCTGGCCTCAGTTTCCCCAGGGAGGCCAAAAGGAGATCAGTGACCTGGACCATCCAAGGACCCAAACCCTCAGCCCAAATTTGAAATTCCCCATATGGGTCTGGATGGTCCAGTAGGGGGCGCACCTCTCCCAGCGACAGGGAGAGTTCTCTTCTCTTCCCAGGCCATGAGGTGAAAAATAACAGGAGGAGGAGGGGGGTTCCCACGCCAGGCAGTTTCACTGGAGGGACCCCAGATGGGGGCAGGTGAGAGCCCTCCCCACCCCAAGGGACTCAGCCCCAGCAGCCGAAAACTTCCAGAACACAGCCGCTTCCATGCTCACCCCCGGTCCCCACAAGCTTGGGCCGAGCCTCACCTAAGAATGAACCGATTCCTAGACCACACGGACGCAAATGCACTTCAAACCACATACCCTACCCACACTCCAAGAGTACTGCACCACATTTGATGGGGTTCAAAGTAAGAGTCAATCAATCTTAGAGGGAAATATTATTTACAGATATATATATGTATGTGTGTGTATATATATATATATATGCACACAAGGCTCAAACTTTAACAACATGCTAGTGATCTCTTATAGAAGGGTTTAATGGCCTCTGGGTGAAATGCAACAATCTTCACACTCTTCCCTCTAAGGATACTTTTTAGCAGCATTTTTCAGCGGTTTTTTATAACAAGCTATACAAATTATATTATTTCGGTTCTGCTTTGGGGCAGGGATTGGGGTTCGGGATGGAAACATCCGAAATTCAGTGGTGGGAAGGTGTAATGGTGGTGGGATTGGTGTCTGAATATTAAATGTAATCAAATATTGTGAACTACTTTATAAAAGAAAAAAAAGAAAATAGTGGGTGACAAAGGCAGGTGCCCGCCAGGGACGAGACCAATCCTGGATCCTGCGAAGCCCTTCAAAGATCCCCACCGAGCCTCTCCCACTGGGTCTCTCCCCCAGCCCGGGGTCAGGGACTCTCTGGGCTTCTCTTCTGGGTCACTTGCGGCAGAACTGACCCGCAGCCTCACCAAACACAAGGCAGGCCACGGACAGAAGCCTAGGCTCCACAGGAGAGTCACGGGTCTGACCACAGCACTGCATGGACCCAGAGCACTGCACAGGGAGCAGCCCAGTGACCGCTGGGTGTGGCCCCCACCTCATGGATGTGCAAGTAAGGAGGTCGGGCTCCAGAGGGTACACAAGGACTAAGATCCTTTTGTCCACACAGTGCACAAGGGATGTCTCACAAAGACTCTTCTCGGAAACCGTGCGTCCGACGAAGCCCAGCTCTGGACCCAGACGCCTCTAGGAAACGGAGGTGACGATGAGCTAAAAGGCCGAATAAATAGAAGGACCAAAAGCTCTCAGCAAAGAGCCTGGCCTGGGGTAAGCACTCGGCAGAGCAGCTAGGATGTCCCCTGGGGGCTCCGGCGGACTGGGGGTCAGTGTTCTCTCTGGAGAGAGGTGGACATGGGCGGGGCATAGGCAAAACCACAAAGCAGGTCACAGAGGCTCCACCAGAGATGAGGGCCGGAAGGAGGAGGCAGAGGAGGAAGAAAAGAGGAGGAGGAGGGGGGAGGGGGGAGGAGGAGAAGAAGGAGGAGGAGGAGGAGGAGGAGGAGGAGGAGGAGGACCCAGCCAGGGCCTTTGCGCAGCTCGGAACCAGGAGAAAGGCCCAAGCCAGCTCCAGGGAGGCCCAGAAGAGCTGTGACAGCCTCGAGAGGCTCCCCCGTGCCCCTCACTCACGACAGTGATGCATGTACCTTCTGACACACACAAACCACACATGCACTCACCCTCACACGCCCTCACATAGACGCGCCCCCCTCCCAGCACACACCCCCTCAGGTCCACACCCACTCGGGCACTCACAGCCTCACTGACACACCTCCTCAGACACACCTCCCACACAGACTCACACCCTCTATGCACTCCCCACATCCCTTACAGAGACCCTCACACACATACCCTCACACACACATAATCCCTCACACAGCCCCTCATGCACACACCCTCACAGACTTGCACCCCGACTCGGACATGCACCCTCAGACACACACTCTCAGACTCACATCTCCTCAGGCACACCCTTCTCTCAGATACCCCATCTTACACACCCCCTCAGACTCACACCTCCCCAGAAAGCCCCCCTCAGACACAAGCCCCCTCAGACTCAAGCCCCTCACAGACACCCTCCCCTCAGTCTCAGCCCCTCACAGACACACACACTGTCAGTAGCCCTCCTGGGCTCTCCACAGACCCAGGGTGGGGTGCAGGGTGCACAGGGTCCCACCCTCCACTCAGAGGAGCAGACACCAGGTTCGCCACGGCTGCTCCATCTATTCCCCTCAGCCTGCTCTGGCCACACAGCCCTATGCTGGCCTAGGCCACTCAGTAGCCAAGAGAGTGTCACCAGATTTCTGAGCCCGTGGCAAAGCCCAGAGTTTCTATACCTCGGCTCTGGGGTTCCCAAAGGGTCTCTACCTCCCTGCTTCCTCGAGGTGTGGGATCTCACTAACACTCCAGCTCACGAGTCCTCTTTCAAAGCTCTTTGTTTGGGGGGTGGTTCGGGCCTCATTCAGCAGTTCTCAGGGGTTACTCCTCGCTCTGCACTCAGGAATCACTCCTGGTGGTACTCAAAGAACCATATGAGATGCCGGGGATCGAACCCAGGTCGACTTCACGCAAGGCAAATGTCCTCCTCGCTGCCCTGTTGCCCCACCCCCACCCCTCCCTCCAAGAGAGCCCTTCCTGCCACCCTCTCAGCACCATCAGCCCACGGACCCTCGACAGTGGGAAGCTCAGATTGCCCCGAATCTCCAGGTGCACCTGCTGGGTCCAGAGCGGTTCTCTGATTAGTGAGGCCCCCCAGGGTCAGGGTGATAATTTGATTGTCTGTAAGTAAGTCATAGCTCAAAAACCTGGGGCCCGGGGATCTAAGAACAGGAAGAGCCAGCGCGCAAGCCTAGGACTGTGTGGCCCAGGCCCCCAGCGCCCTAGGCTGACAACCTCGTGCCTGGGCACCACTGACGCCACGTGGGGCACCAGTGCTGGGCCCTGGCCAAGGTGCCCTGACTCCAGTGTGTTTCTGGGACCATGCAGCCCTGCGGGGGTCACGGGCCCCTCAAACTCAATGTGCAGAGCCAAGCTGATTCCCAGGCTGCTCGCTCCTCCCCAGCCCAGGTCAGCTCGAGGGGAGGCGTCCAGCAGAGACTGAGGCCCAAGCAATCAATAGCTTGATGGATACCCCAAAAGCTCCAACCACAGGCTGGTCAAACTCAGCTCTCTCAGCTCCAGAACATTCCTTCCTGTAAGACCCTGGGCCCCACCCCGAGTCCAACGTGCCCTGGATTCAGTGCGCTGTGGGCCAGAAACGCATTCGGGCCCCTGGATGTGCTGAGGTTGCATGGGTCCCTAGCCCAGGGACAGGGTTCTGGGCCTGCTCATGCCTCTGCGTGTCTCTCCTCTGAGTGCAGCCCCTGCCAAAAGACCCTCACAACTTCCCCCTCAGAGCAGGAGTGCCTTGGAAGCAGAGACTGTTTCCCCCAATCCCCGGGAACAGGTCAAAGGGTGTGGCTATGAACAGATGTCCACTCCGGCTGTGGGGCCTCAGGCTGAGGGCTCTGCCTCTTCCAGGCCGCCCTCCATGGGAGCAGCAGCTGGCCCTGCTGGAATGACGGTACGCAGTGCCCTGACTGCGACGGGCAGAGCCCTGGACGTGGTACCACAGTGAGCCCGGCTGAAGCCCCCCCGGGTCACCTCTCGGTGCCCTCCTCCCCCAAGCCAGAGCTGAAGAGCCCTGACGGCATCTGGAGCCAGATCCTGTGAGGCGAGACCAGGGGGGCTGTGGTTGGTCCGGCCCCAGGAAACTGGCTCCTGCTGGACACTGACTATGGACAGCGAGCAAGAGTAACCCTCCTCCTGGGGGTCCCCTTCCCCCCCCCAGCACAGGGACTGGGGAACAGGCCTTCCCCAGCTCTCTCGGCATCACCCCTGGCTACCCCAGAGCCCCGGCAAGCTTAGCCCACCATTAGCCTGTTCTCCTGCTGATGACGCCCAGGCTCAGAGACACGAGAGGGATCGTCTGGGGAACCCAGCTGGGTCAGGCCCGGCATCTCCCAGCCCCTCCCCGGGATGACTCGGCTAGGAGGAGGGGCCGTGGGGGCCGGGGCAGGGGGGTGGGGTGGCGGGGAGAGGCTCACCGGGCTGATGCGCGTCCAGGTTCTCGCAGGGAACGTCGTCGTAGATCACATCCTCCTCCAGGGCGGGGAAAGTGAACCGGTCGACTGGGGGGCAGAGGGGAGGGCGTGGGAGCGGGCGGCGTGTCAGGGGCCCCTCCTCCCCCGCCCCACCCCCAGCCCCACTTACCATGCCCCACGCAGCCCACCCTTGAAGACCCTTAGCTCTGACGGCTCTCTGGGCCCCCCGGCCCTGCTGCTTCTCCCCCTCTCAGTCCCTCCAGGGCAGCCTCCCGGTGCCAGGCGCCAACCCCACCTGCCGTCCGGCTGCCCATGTCCCGCCCATCTGGCTGGCCAGGCCTGGGCTCTGGCACCTGCTGGGGGCAGGAAACCGAACCAGCGTCTGTGCCTGGGAGCCGGGGGCCGCTTCAGCGGTCTGCACGCCCTTCCCTCCCCTCCCTCAACCTTCCCTGTCAAACCCCTGCCAGGCGCACGTTACTGTGTGCAGGGCAGGGGATAGCGGGGGCTTGGATTAAACACTGGGCTTCGTTAGACACCACATCCTCAGACTTGGCCAGCGGCACCCCGGGGTGGGAAGCTGCGCAGACCAGCGCTACCCCTGCGGACATTTCTGCTCACCACCTGTGCCCAGGCTCCCTGGTGGGAAATTAAGGAGCCTAAGACTGCACCCCGTCTCCATCCTGCCTGGGGGCAGTGGGATCAGGGCCAAACAAACCAGGCCCCAGACTCCACAGGGCTGCTCCTTTCCCCCCAGATTGACTGGGAGCAGGTGGACTTCGAAGCCCCCACTGTCCTCACTGCTGCACTTCCTGGGTCTCCCCCGCCCCCAGAGTCCTGTGAAGCCTCCACTGACCCCCTCTCCTTCCTTCTTTAGCTCTCAGACCTGACTGCCTCTCGCTGGCACCACCCCGGTCACTGCAGCCACTCCCACACTGGGAGTCCACCCTGCCCCCCACAAAGGCAGCTTCTGAGGGAGCCCAGGTCCTCCAGCTCCCGCACAGGGGCGGGGGTGGGGGGGCTGCTAGGACCCTTCCTCCTTGAGCTCTGCTCCTGGCTCTCAGCCTCCAGGAGCCCCCGTTCCCTCAGTGGCCACCCGGTGTCCTGGGCCCTACCCAGCATGCTCACTGCCCACTGGCCATGGGTCTGTTTCCACTCCCATAGTGACTCTAGGTGAAGAGGGCAGGCCCGTGGCCTGTCCTGGGCAGGCCTCTCATGCTGTCCTGCTGTCCTGCAGGGGCCCACAGCAGCCCACCCGGGGTGGAGCCCAAGGGGACTTACTGCGACGGGAGCTTTTCCGTTTCCAGCTGGAACGCGGGACCCCGGAGAAGGCCACGTCCTGGGCATCCCCGTTACTCAGCGGGGGTGGGGCCCTGCAGGGGGTGGGGTAGAAGGGGAACAGGCTGTGAGCCAGGGAAGCCCCCCTCCCTGCCCCTCCCCAAGGAGTCAGGGTACAGAGTGGACGGGACACCCCTACGGGCGTTGGACAGAGGGACTGCGACAACTTCCCGGCCCCTTTTGGGTCCCCCGTGGGCAGAAGGCCCCAGACACACTTTCACAGATCATGAAGATCAAACCTGAAGCAGAGGTGAGAACAAGAGCGCCCCCCCACCCTAACAAGGGCACGCCTGTTTCCCTGCAGGGGAGTCTGGGGCGGGAGGTCACGGCTGCCCAGACTAGACTCTCCCTTCTGCAACCTGGAGTCTCAGGCTGCAGACCCTGCAGTGGGGAGAAGTGTGGACAAACCAGGCTTCCAACAGTACACCCAGGCCCTGGGCACCCAGCCTGGATGCCCAGGCTCATGAGGGTGCCAGCAGTCATCAGGCAAACTGGGGCCACCATCAGAGCCCTCACAGACAGCAGGCCACACCTGCCCAAGAGAAACAAAGAACGAAACTCAAGCTGAAAACCAGCAGCTTTGGACAGGGCGGTCACCGTCTCCCCCTCCCAGCAGCCTGGCCAAGCTCAGGAGGGTCGGGCGGGGGCCTCACTCCAAAAACCTTCAGCTTAGGTTCACGGATGAGACAGAGGCTCAGCCCTCTGGGACCCCCTGGCTTGCAATCCCCCCACCCCACCCTTCCTCATCATTTCCACAAAACTGCTCCTGGGCACCGGGCAGACGAGATGATGAGGAAGCTGGAGCGAGAATCCAGAGAGCAAAGCGCTCGCCTTCCATGCGGCTGACCTGGGTTGGATCCCCAGCACCCATATGGTCCCTGAGCCCTCCAGGAGTGACCCCTGAGCACTGAACCCTGAGCACTGCTCAGTGTGTCCCCACCCCAAAAAAAAAAAGGGCAGGAGGGTTGAGAGGGAACCCTGGCAATGGGTTTGGGGAAGTAATAAAGTCAGATCTGATCTAAGGAAGTCACAGGCACCAGCCCCAAGGAGGAGAAGCAGGAACTGAGCCTGATAAAACTAAAGGAGTTGGCTGTCAGCACCAGCCCACAGGCAGAAGTGAGGGCCAAAGTAAGACCGTGAAAACACAAAAAGACCTCAGGAAGGCCACAGTGCTTTCCCTTGCCCGCACGTGGCCACAGACCCTGATCCATCCGGAAAGCACTGACACCTACACTCTGGGACTAGCGTCTCCCTGCTGCAGCCACCAGCCACCGGCACACTCCTCCCTGCCACTCCACCCCTGACCCCACCATCTCTCCTTGGGCTCCGCCCTGACACAGACCCCCTGACTCACTGTGCTGAGACGGGCCCCCACGCCATGGCATCCTCCCCTACCCCCAGCCCCGCTCCAGTCTCAAGGCTGCTATTTCACTGGCAGGACCACAGCGGGGCCACGCTCTGCTCTCCTCGTTTGGCCGATGGGAAAACTGAGGCTCTGAGACTCCATGACTTACCCAGAGTCCCACACAGCTCACTGGGGATCTGGGACCTAGTCTGTCTGCTGTCTACAAAGTTTGGGCTCTTTTAGGCAGCCTCTTTGTTAGTAGATGGCATAAACTGGCATGGGCTGGCACTAGTAGAGCACATGTAGGCACCAGCCAGCACAGGTCAGGCATGGGCTAAGTACAGGCTGGCATGGGCTGGTGCAGGATGGCATGAACAGGTACCGGCTGGCACCATTTGGCATGAGCGGGCACAGGCTGGCACAGACTAGCATAGACCAACACTGGCTGGCACGGGCTGGCACCGCCGAGCAGCCTGAGTTGGCACAGCTGACATGAGTTGGCAAGACTGGCACCAGTGGGCACCTGTCCGAGGGGGATGAAGTTTGCTGTGAGTACGACCAGAGGATGAATGAAAGAACAGGAGGGAGTTCTCGGGACAGGCCCTGGTGAAAAGGGAGTGAGAAACACCCACAGACTACAGCTGGCTACGGACCCTGTCCCCGCCTCGACCCTTGCATGCACGCGTGTGCGCGCGCACGCACGCACACACACACACACACACACACACACCCCAGTACGCTGGCTACAGACCCTGTCCCCCTCCCCCCAACACACAGAGAGACCACTGTAGTGGTCTACAGACCCTGTCCCCAGCTCAACCCTTGCATGCATGCACACATACACATACACACACACACACACACACACACACACTATTATGCCGGCTACAGACCCTGTCCCCTTCCCCCAAAACACACACACAGACCACTACAGCTGGCTACAGACCCTGTCCCCCACCTCGACCCTTGCATGCATGCACACACACACACACACACACACACACACACACACACACACCCCTCATAGAACTTGGTAAAGATGCAGAGGATGGAAGGATGGGGGTGGAGGTGCAGGGCACGCAGTCAGGCTGCAGGACCCAGGTCGGGGCAGCTCAACTCTGTCCTGAGTGCTGGCGGGTGGCAGGGGGTAGCTGGCACCAAGACTGGAGAGGTCCAGCCTGGGCCTGGGTGGACGTGACAGCACCCTCGGGGTCCACCCCTGGGACCCGCCCTTAGTCTGTCCACCTGGGCGTTCTCCCCGGGCAGGTAGGGCAAATTGCCATCCAGCTGACCCATGCACACTGCTAAGGCCAGCCGGGGCTTCAGGGCCAGAGGCAAAGAGTTGGCAGGACTGCACTCATCCTGGGGGTGCCAGGGGAGAGCCCCTTCCATGGCCTTTTCCCAGGAAGCTGCCTGTGTTCCTCAGCGGGTGGCCCCCTCCCCTGAGCCCCCTGATGCCCCAGGATCCTCCCTCTCCTGAGGAAGGGGACCTGTACCCGTCTTCCCAGGTTCTGGGATGAGGAGAGGTGGTGTCTGCTGGGGGCCTTCCTGTGCCCACCGCAGCAGCGGGGGTCCAAGGAGAGGCAGGTGGACAGTGGCTCCACACTTCCCTGTGCCAGCCATGAGGGGTGGGAGGGGCATCAAGAGATTCCTGAAGTTCTGGGGACCCACGGACAGGACCCCTCTACCAGGGAGAGGCTGTGCAGCCTCTGTGCTGGGGACTCCAGAGTCTGAGGAGAGATCCCAGCACTGCAGGGCTGGAGGATCTTACATCCAGGGGCAAAAGACGGCAGAGAGAAATACAGTTTCCTCCCTGTGAGGCCAAGAAGGGGTTTGGTGGCACCAGGGTCCGGCTTCATGAAGGACAGGAAGGCTCCAAATCCCCAGATGCAGGGAGCAGAGGGTGCAGGCTCGGCCCAGTTCCCCAACAACACTGGGCCGGGTCAGCTGTGGTGCCATGACGAGCTGTGGGGGTTCAGGGCAGGAACCCTCCAGTCTCCCAGCTTCTCCCCAGGGTGCTCTGCTCCCCAACTCCTGGTGCCTGGAAAACCCGGGGCTGCAGCCAGGAGGGTCCTAGGCCCCTGCTCCCTGCTGTGGACATGCTGCTCCCCAAGCGTGGCCTCCTCTAGGCTCCAGGGAGGGAGAGGCTCAGGGAGGGGCGTCTCCTGGGTACCTTCATGAGCAGCTGCCCAACTGCTCCTTGAGTCCAGCAAGGAAAGCAAACCCCGGCAGAGGGGCTGTGGAAGGGGGCTGCAGCACACAGGGGGAGCCGTGGGTCTGGCTGGAAGAGCACAGGAAGTCCTCACCCCAAGTTCCCTCCTCCGGGGGGTGACCCCTGGAGATAGTCCAGCAAGGGGCACACACAGGGCATTTGTGAGCAGGGGGGACTTAGGAGTGCACCATGGGGGACAAGATCGCTCTCGGGCCATGTGTGCAGACATTGTCACAGACATCACAGGTTGGCATGGGCTGGTACCAGTTGGCATGAACTGGCATGGGCTAGCACCAGTTGGCATGGACTGATACTGACTGGCAAATATAGGCATATGGACTGGCCCCAGCTGCCACAGACTGGCATAGCTTTGTCACAAGTTAGTATGAGCCAGCACTGACCAGTACTGTCTGGTTCCCACTGGCATTGGTTGGCATGAACTGGCAGCAGTTAGCACTGGCTAGCACCAACTGAGAAGGGTTGGGATGGTATAGCAACTCTTGGCACATGGTGCCAGCCAGCACCTGGTGGCACCGACTGGAATGGACTGACACAGGATGGCACCAGATGGCATGATGTGGCGGGGTGGCACCAGTTGGGATTTGCTCCAGTTGGGATTTGCTGATACAGACTGTTGTGGGCTGGTACCACTTAGCATTGACTGGCATAGATTATCACTGCCCGGCACAGACTGCCATGGGAGATAAGTACTGGCACCAGGTAGCATTTAGCTAGCATATGCAGATACACACTGGCATGGGCTTGCATGAGCTGGTACTAACTGGCATTATCTGGCAGGGATTGGCATGGAATGGCATAACATGATATGTTTGGCTGTCATGGGTTGGCATGGACTGTCACTGATCTTTACCCCTTGACATCTGCCTCCACCCACAACCCCAGGGGGCAAAGGGCTTAGTGGCCTAGGGAGCACACGTGGCATGCAGGAGGCCCTGGGTTGATCCCCAGCAACACTGACTCCCCAAGCACTCCTGAGCACCACTGGGAAGGCCCCAACACGTCCGTGAGGGGCAGCCTGGCCCCTGGGTTCTGTGACTGTGGGGTCAGTCATCCCAGCCCTAAGCTTCTGCACTCACCCGCACAAAAGCATGCTAAACTCTGTGCCTGGACCGGGGGAGAAGCAGGGGCACAGGAAGCTCTAGCCTTGGTGGCCTGCTCGGTGCCCAGCATGGGCCTCAGCGGGCAAGAAACAGGTGCCTGGGCCGTGTGCTGCCCAGCTGCTCAACCTCTCAGGAGCCCTCTGTCCACGCCGCCTCCTGGGCCTTATTACCAGGGGAGAGGCAGGATCTGGGTCCTGAGATTCCTGCTCACCGTTTCTCTCCTTGTTTGCTTCTTTGCACCCTCCCCCCACCCCAACACACATGCGCGCACACACATGTACACACAGGGAAGGTATTCAGGCTCCTGTGGGGTCAACAGTGCTGTTGGCCTCATGGGAACAGGTGCTGCGGTTTGGAAGCCCAAGGTGGCCGCAGAGCTGGGTTGCATCGGGGAGGTGACCAGCTGGGAGCCAGAGCCCAATCTGATGCCCCCGGCCAGATCTCCTAGACCCCAGCCAGCCTCAGCTTCCTCGTGACCAACCCCCCCCCCCCACACACACACACACACACCCTGGGCGGGTAGGATTCTCCACCCCAAGCAAACACGACAAAGCCGGGCAGCGAGTTGGGGAGAGGAAGGATCAAACCCAGGAGTCCTATGGCCCAGAGGCCAACAGGCTCCTCCTGAAACTAGACTGACACTGAGAAGCAGCACGGTGGTCACAGAGACGCCTACAGCAGCGGGGGAGTCAGCCGCCACTACTGCATGTCTCCATGGCCTCTCACCTCCATCCCACTCATCGAGGACATCCGGCCTGGCTGGCGACAAGAGGCAGCTTGCCTGGTGACCTACAGCCAGTAAGCAGCAGCACCACCCTTTTGGGGGGCTGCAGGGGGGAGGGGGGCACACCTGGCGATGCTCAGCTGTTACTCCTGGCTCTACACTCAGAGCTCACTCCGGCGGTGCTCAGGGATCAAACCGAGGTCAGCCACATGCAAGGCAAGCAAGCACCCTACCCGCACTTCTAGCCTTGAAGCTGGCGCTGGGGGTCTCTGAGCCCCAGCATGAAGCCCTGGAGGACCCAGACACTGGCAGCCCACCAAGAGCTGGGGGCCTGAGCTGGCCATGACACCTCAGAGGTGCCCCTCGGGGAAGGCCACAGCCACATGGGGGTGAGGATAGGGGTCCTGACTGTGCTGTCAGAAGCCTGCTGTGGGCATCAGCTGCTTCTCCGAGGCCAGCTAAGCAGCCAGAGCCCTGGGCAAGGGTGACGGTCACGGTCACGGGAGAGACACCGCCAGAGGTCCTGGAACGTCCTGCCCTGGAGAGCTGTTTCTCTCGAAGCCGTGTTGACTTAGGCACGACCTCTGGGGAGGGGAGTTAAAACATGTTTTCCGAAAGAGAATTGAGATTTTTATTTTCCCTTCCTCTTGGATAACAAGGCGAGGGAAAGTGGCCTGGATTGATTCTTGTCCCAGAGGGCTGCAGAGTGGAAAATCACCAGCTAGGGCAGGAATGGAAGGTGGGAGCCCCAAAGGAGCAGGGAGCGGAGAAGGGACACAGGTGGGGACCTCACAGCACCCACCCACCCACCCACACACACACACACACACACACCACACTGCCACCCCTGTAGGGCACTGCCCATCACATGACCTGGCGGCAGGCTGGGGACAGACCCTGAGTGAGGAACTGCTGTGACTCTCCTTAGATGCCCAGATTCCGTGCAGGCTGCATGAGGGAACTCCCAAAGGGTGTGGCACCGGGACCCCCTGGCCATGTAGCCCCTGCAGAGCAGGAGATTCACGGGGCACCATCTGGCCAGAAAGCACCATGAGGGGGACTCTGTGGTCATGTCCGACCCTGCCCAGCGTGTCCAGGTGGGAGCATTTGGTCCCACCTTATAGGAGAAAGGATGCTCAGCCATTCCTGGCAGCCACCCAACCACCACCCAGTCACTGAGCCCCAGAGTCAGTGCCCCGGGGACAGGGGGTTCCAAGACCTCCCTACGCTCCCCACCCCCCCACACACACATACACCTTGAGCTCTGCTGACCAGCATGGCAGCTGTGCCATGTGGCAGGACACTCCCCTCAGTCATAAGAGAACCTGGGTTCCAGCCCCGGCACCACAGAGAAACCCCCTGGCAGGGACAGTCCTGCAGGACCAGCTGCGTGGGTGGGCTTAACGGGCCCCTGTGTATGGGATGCCCTTCTGCAGGGCCACTGAGCTGCATACTGGACTCCAGGCCAAAGGCGAGGGCAGGCAGAGCCAGACTGTGCTGCCCAGAGGTCAGAGAACCGGGGTCTCAGAGCCGGGGAGGGTGCCCTCGCCCACTGCCCACTCCGTGCAGCGGCTTCCTCCATGCAGCCCTCCTGACCTGAACTGACTTTCACATCTACGGGACTCCTTCAGAGCGTACAACAGCTCAGACCCTGCCCTGCCCCGAGCACCCCCGCTCAGAGCCGCCATCCCCTGGTTGCTCCTTCGCCTCCTCTAGGGATGGACGGCATTGCCCAAGAACCAAGTGCCAGGCCCGGCCTGCCCAGGCCTACAGCTCCAGGAGGACTGCCCCACCCCGCGCAGGGCTGGCTCTGCTGACTCACCCCAGGTCCCCCAGCAAGGGGGGCGACTGCTGGCCCCGTCAGGCCTTAATTGCATGGTGGGAGGCCCTGGCAGAGACCCGCCCGCCCACTCCCAGCCCTGACTGGATCCAGGATGGTCTTCAGCCCCCAGGGAACCCTGACCACTTCACCCTGACTTGGCAGCTTCCAGCTGTGTGACTCCTGCCTGAGAAATAGCCCCCTGATTGAGTGTCCACAAAGAAAGCAGAGGGGGGCCCAAACAAACACACCTGGACCCCCAGGAGAGCCAGCATTGGAGCCCCATCTATCCCAGGCCAGAGCCCCTTCATCCAGCATGTTTGAAGCCCCAGGTTCAATCTCTGAATTCACCACAGGAGCCCCTAAGTACCCCTGGGCGAGGCCTGGGGGCACCCAAATCCCCCTATGAGCACTGGAAGTAGCCCCTGAGAACTGCCGGGCGTGCCACCCCCAAAAGGGGCAGAGAACTCTAACCACCTGTGCGAGCAGCCCTGGGGCCCCCAGGTGTGGCACCAAGTGTGAGTCTCACCTGCCAGAGAAACAGGGAGGGGCGGCTGCCTCTCGGGACAGCCCTCAGCCCTCATTATCCCTGGGGAGAGGCGCTGGCCAGGGTCCGTGGTCAGTGCTGGGGCTGGAGTGGCCTCTGAAGCCCTCCTAGCAGCCCAGGCAGAGGAGGGACAAGTTCCACAGAACTGCCCAGTAGAGGCAGAATGGACCACGCCAGGACCACCCCCACCCTGACCAGCCAGCACTGCCCACCAGCACCAGCCTGACGCCTGTCTCCGGCCCCAGGGGGCCTGCACCCAGCCACCCCCACTGGCCCTGAGCACTGCCTGGGCCTCCGAGTTCTCCCATGGCTCCTTCAAGACACAGCTGGCAGAGTTGAGTTTGACTCCAGGCTTTGGGCTGGCCACCTTTGGGGCTTGTGGGCAGGATCCAGGGAAAGGTCAAAGGGGTTTGGGCCCTCCCCAGGGGGATGTAGGGGGGTCTTGCAGAGCCAAAAGCCTATACTGGGCCCCGGGCCCACAGCTCTCCCCAGCCCACACCTCCTACCCCGGGTCTCCCCGTGTTCCAACCACCAAGCTCCGGAGCGAGGCTGACTTACTGCGCCTGGGGTGCAGCCACTGGATCCGGGTCTGCGGGAGAAGCGAGGAGAGCAAGCCGTCAGGCAGGCGGGAAGCTGGCCTCAGTAGACCCAGCCCGGCCCGGCCCGCCCCTTTCCCAGCCTCCCAGGGGGCACTGGCGACCAGGCCTGGCCAGCCGGCCCGGTTCCCGCCTCTCCTCCCCCGCCACCAGGGCATCCTCATTAAAGCTCCTACCTGCATCGCCCCCGCCCCCACCCCGACCCCGCCCCCATGGCCCACATCCCAGCTCAGGGCCCGCCACGGGCCCAGTCCCCCACCCCCTGCTTGGAGCCCCCTGTCCCCTCGCCTGCAGGAAGTTCCTGCTTGTCCAGTCCCCCGGCTCTCCCAGATGACAAAATCAGCGAGCCCAGAAGCTGCTATTTAACACCAGTCTTATCAGGGCCCTCCCGCCGCCCGCCCTCAGGGCCACGGTTCCCAGGGGCCAGGGCCCAAAAGCCCGGGCGGCAAGGATGATGCCCGACGCGCAACCCGGGTCGGCCACTTCCGAATCCATCCCTGTGCCCCGGTGCGCCAGATGTTGCCGGAATGTGAGGAATCCGCCGTCCCCAAGGAAAGGAATGGAATGCGGCTGCTCCCCAGTGGCTGCGGCTCTTCCCTTCCTGTCTTCTGGGGCAGCGGAGGGACCACATGACATCACGGGAGCCGAGCTTCCATGCAGCTGGAAACTCTGCATGCCCGTCTCCCCCCACACCCCACACCCCCAGCCCAGACCAGAAACCAGAGCCCCCAACACACACACTCCCAGGCTCAAGAAGACATAATACCGGAGCCAGAGCTGGGAGCCGAGTCCAAGTGGATCAGTGGAGCGGCAGCATCTCTGTCTGCAGCCACGCCTGGGACGCCCAGGCCAGCGCTGGCGCTGGTGTCCTCGTCATCATCGCTGTCGTCAAACTCGAAGGCCTCTCCGGGGTCGTCCTCTGCCTCGGGGGAGGGGCCTGGGCCTCCGGGAACCAGCAGATCTCCTGCAAGGAAGGAAGGGAGGAAGGAAGGAGTGAGCTAGGGAGTGAGGCGTGGAGGGGAGGGTAGTTCCCAGGGGTCCCCCTGTGGGCCCCCCACAGGCAGCCTCTGCCGCTGGGGCGGGGGTCCTGGGCAGAGGGAGGGCCCCTGTGGTCCATGCAGGGGGTGAGGAGGTGCTTTGTAAGTGCACGGGGGCACACACCACCTGTGTGTGTTTAAGCTCCTGTGTGCATGTGTGTGTGCACACACACGCTGCACTTTGTCCAGCACGCAGGGCAGTAGCACACACAGAAGCCCACAAGCACACAGCACCCCAGGGGGACCAGCTTCCAGGTCCTGGCCCCAGACCAGCTGGGACGGGGTTAGGGCGCAGGCTCCCTGCCAGGCTCCCTGCCAGTTCTCCCCTGGGATCCTTTCTGCTGCTCGTTGACCGTCTCACCTCCCTTTAAGGGAAAAGGCTTAGCCCAGGGTGCAGGGATGGGAGCCCAACGGTTTTGTTACACCCCCCTGAAGGGCACTGTTACATGTTACAAGTTACATTTGTTACACCCCATGAAGAAATGCACTGACCCTGGAGACCCCGGGTGCTACCACACCCCTGGCTCCAGGCTCACGGCCCCCTGTCTTGCCTCCCTCCCCGCCCTCTGACCTAGCCACCGCCTGGACAGAAGCTCTTGTGGTGGCCATCTATGCCCAGTCTCATGCACACGGGGCAGAGTTGTCCGGCATGCTTCAAGCCAATAGGGGCTGACCGCCTGCCTCTCAGGGTGTCCACCGTGGGCCTGGCGCTGCTTGGGACGCACTGTCAGAGTGTGAGCTCCGGGCTGGTCCTGAGGCCTGCCCAGCTGCGTGCTTCTCCGAGAGCCTCTCACGGCTCTCCTCCTCCACTGTGAATACCCGCGAGAATGAAAACACACCTTGGGGTAAGGTACAGGAGAAAGACCGTATGGAGCTAAGGTGTCTAACCGGCCTGTGGCTGACCCTGATCCCTGGCACCATCTTAAGGTCCCCTGAACAACCACCAGGAGAAATCCCTGAGGACCTCAAGGTATGACCCCCAAGCCAAAACAAAAAGGGAACCTTGCACAGAGAGCTGATGAGAACATGGAGACGGTGAAGGGAGTGGTCTCAGCCTGTGGCCACCACTGGCCTCGGGGCCTTGAGACCTCCGTATGGGAAGCAGGCAGGGTCCAGCCTCCAACACCAAGACCCAGTAGTGCCGCCCAGCTGTGACAAGGAGATGTCTCTCCTGACACATGCCCCTGATGAGGGAGATCACCATTCACAGCATCCCCACAGGGTGGATGGCGCATGGCCCAGGATGCTTTGTGCTACCCAGCTAACACCATCCCCCTCTGCTGCAGATCCCTGAGAATAGGATAGCCTCCCCTGCCTATGTCCACCACTGTAGGTGCTCATGGGTCATCCAGCAGGTGGACAGGAGCACAGGTGGGATGTCCAATCCCTGCTCCACAGGGACCCTGTACACCTCCAGGGATCAACACAGCCAAATTGAGAAGCTCCTTCCTGAGTGCAAAAACCTAGAGCTGCCCCCCCCCGCCCCGCCAGGGGGGACACACTTGGAGGTGGGCATTTGTGGGTAGTGTGTGCCCTGAGGCTCAGGCCTCTTCCGCCATGTGGGGACAACCTGAGGGCTGATACAGGACTGCCCGCCCTTGTGTCACTTGTTTCAGCCCTGTGACTGCTCAGCTCCATCCAAGGAGGTCACAGAGATTCCAAAGGCCAAGCAAGGCCCCCCCAAGACACAGCTAACAAGTGGGGGCTGGCGTGAACCCCATATATCCTCATTCTACTGTCACTGTCACTGTCCTCCCATTGTTCATCGATTTGCTCGCGCGGGCCCAGTAATGTCTCCATCGTGAGACTTGTTACTGTGTTTGGCATATCGAATATGTCACGGGGAGCTTGCCAGGCTCTGCCGTGCGGGCGAGATACTCTCAGTAGCTTGCCGGACTCTCCAAGAGGGACGGAGGAATCGAACTCAGGTCGGCCATATTGGCCGCATGCAAGGCAAATGCCCTACCCGCTGTGCTATTGCTCCAGCCCAATCCTCATGCTACATTTTTTTTTTTTTTTTTTTTTTGCTTTTTGAGTCACGCCCGGCAATGTGCAGGAGTTACTCCTGGCTCTGCACTCAGGAATTACTCCTGGCAGTGCTCGGGGGACCATATGGGATGCTGGGGATCAAACCCAGGTTGGCCGCGTACAAGGCAAACAACCAACCGGCTGTGCTATACTCCAGCCCCTCATGCTCCACTCTTGCCATGAAGCCCTGGAGTCCTTATCCAGTGAGGAGGAAATTCAGGGGGCGAGAGCCCTGCAGAGCAGCTCTCCGCCCCAGGGGTCACACGCTCTCACTCAGAGCTTCCAGGCAGCTGACTGTTCTGTACGAAGTGCCGGCCTGGGATGATTCGAGAGACGCTGTTACCCCTATGGATAAAGCACGCCTGCTGTGACTCGCAGCGCTGTTTGTGACGCATCTGTGTCCTGTGTGTCAGAAGCACCTGTGGTCCCCCGCCACCCCACTCCCGTCACACCTGTGTCCCTGTAACCATGCAGCTCTGGCCTTGGGACCTGCGAACTTCAGTCCTGGGCCCACGATGTTCTTGGCCAGGCCCCTCCTGCACTGGCCCCAGAGGTGGTCTCTGTCTCCATCTCCCCCAGTGGACAGCCAACTCTGGGTCCCTGCCCAGAGCCCCCGGGACCCCCAGTCTGTTGCTTGCATGGCTTCCCTGTGCCCTGAACACTATGTCTTCCACATATCCGCCTGCTGCTGTCCCACGGGGGACCTGAGTCACCAGGGGAGACACACGATGTGATGTGCTGTGCTCCGCATGCAGCATGCACAGAATCAGCACAGGCTGAATGCACACACTCCCTCCTGGGTCAAGGTTTAAAAACACCTGGAGGGGCTGGAGCGATAGCACACCGGGTAGGGCATTCGCCTTGCATGTGGCCGACCCAGGTTCGATTCCCAGCATCCCATATGGTCCCCTGAGCACCGCCAGAAGTAATTCCTGAGTGCATGAGTCAGGAGGAACCCCTGAGCATCACTGGGTGTGACCCAAAAAGCAAAAAAAATTTTTTTTTAAATTTAAAAATAAAAATGACTGGAATGGGGAGCCGGAGCCATCGTACAGTGGAGAGGGCATTTTGCCTTGCATGCAGTCAACCCAGGTTCAATTCCCAGCATTCCATATGGTCCCTGAGCATCACCAGGAGTGGTCCCTGAGTGCAGATCCAGGGGAGTAAGCCCTGAGCACCAACAGGAGTGAAGCTCAAGTGCACAGTCAAGGGTAAGCCCTGAGCACCACCAGGAATGATCCCTGAGCAGAGAGCCAGGAGGCAGCCCTGAGCACTGGTGGGTGTGACCCAAAAACCAAAGAAATAAATGAAAACTCCTGGCCCCTGCCTACTATTTAGAGCCCTGTCCGACCCTGGAGACTTCGGCTGCTGCGGTTCCTGGGGGTGGGGGGGGGGGGGGGGGGAGAGTGAGGAGTCCCAGGGCCTGTGGCTCATGCCAGGGCCCTGACTGAGAGGCTGTGGGGGACCTAGACCCCCGCACTCCTGAGCCGAACTGAGTGTAGCTCATGACGCCTGCCTGCCCCCCGCCCCCCGCCCTGCTGCTTCCTGAGATCAGTGTAACATCTGGACGTGCTGAAGCCTGTGCGAGGGCCTCCGGCTGCGCTGCTCTGACTCAGAGTCTGGCCTTGGCCGCATCCCCTTGATTGTGGGCCTGGCCTGGGGGTAGAGCGTGGGGGGGGGGGGGACAGCAGCCTCCCCCACAACCCCCACTGCCAGGCCAGCTCCAGGCCACCAGGTCGCAGGTGAGAGGGACTCGAGCGGGACACGTGGCTTCTGCACCTCCTCTCTTTATGAGTGCCACCGGCCTGGGTACCACCATCAGCCGGCACAGTCACACCACTGTCCAATGATGGCCCTCATGGACCCCATCATGGGCTGGGGGCCCAAAGGAGACAGAAGACAGGCCAGCCCTGGGCAGAGGGGCACGGGTGCCCGGGGGCCTGAGGCGGTACAGACAGGAGGGTCTCTGTACAGGGCACTCTCCTAGAGAGAAGAGCAAAAGGGGGTGCGGAGTTTCCCAGGCTAAGGTACCAGCAGGAGCAGAAACCCGACAGCAAGGGGCCGGGGCCATGGAAGCCGTGAGCAAGGATGGAGGGGAGCAAAAGGTGGTTCTCGGGGACAACCTGGATTTGGCTTCACCAGAAGGCAGGGGGGGGCGCTTCTCAGAGAGCCCACGGATGCCGGGGTCCACCCACAGGCAGGCTGAGGGGGGCTGGGACTGAGTCAGCCACAGAACTGGTCAAGTAGTCCTCAGGCCAGATCCCCCAGGTGAGGAAAAGAAAGGGGACAGGAGACCCCTGGTGACAGGGCCGAGGGCCGCCGGGTCCCAGTGTCACCATCAGGAGCCGGGAGACGCCTTGTTCCCTGCGAGCACGTCCTGGGCGTTTGGGAACAGGAGTGCAGCTGCTTATCGGTGTGCAGATCCCAGCCCAGCCCTGGGTAATTGGGAGCTGTGACACCACGGGAGAGGCCTTTGGGGTTCCCAGGCGCGCCCCATCCTTGGGACAGCTGCCCCGCGAGACACCCTGGCATGCACGCCCGGGTCACAGGGAAGGTGGGGCGCCGGGCCTTGGCGCAAGAACACAGCGCCGACAGGGAAGAGCGTGTCCTCCGGGGCTGGGCGGGGGGTGGACCGACTCTGAGCTGAGACCGAAGCCAACCCGCTGCCCCTACACATGAATGATGGCCACGAGTAGACACTGCAGGGGCTCACACCGCCGCAGACCTGGCAATGCCATGCGCATGGGTGGCATCAGCACGCACGTTTATGGATGGAAGAGCTGAGCACTGCACACTGAGTCACTCCACCCGGGCTCGTCACCTTTCTACTCAGCGCGCCTCCTTGGGGGGAAGAGAGGAAGACAGGCAGCCAGGCCCCAGGGGAGAGCAGAGAAAGGCCTGTGTCCAGCTGGGGGGGGAGGGGGGAGGCCTAGATTCTGCCTATACAGCTCCCCTCCCCTCCCCCTCCCTCCTAGGCTTGTCAGATAAGATACAGATCAAACTGAATTTCAGGTCAAACTGGTTTGTTTTTCTTTGGTGGGGGGGTGAGGGTGTTTTATGGGGTGGTGGCCCACTCAGCAGTGCTCGGGGCTTACTCCTGGCTCTACGCTCAGGGATCACTCTGGTAGTGCTCAGGAGACTCTATGGGGTGCTGGGGATCCTGGGTGGGACCTGGGCTGGCCACATGCAAGGCAAAACACGTGCAAGGCCCTCCCTGCTGGGCCACTGCTCTGGGCCCACAAACCCTGTTTGAGCAGGAAATGTGTATTCTGCTTTGCTCGCCGGGTCTGGAGCCCCCGGCACCAGGTGAACTGAGCCCAGGCCCTCAGCAGATGGAGCTGGGGCTCGGATCCCTTGGGGACCCACTCTCAGTCCATAGGCTCCACCCCCACCCCAGCAGAGCCGGTTGTTGGCCACTTGGGGGATCTCCAGTCTTTGCCTGGCACCAACCCCGTGAGAAGGATGTTCTTCCTGGTTCCTCTGAGGAAACTTAGGCAGAGGGTGAGTCCACAAGCAGGGCCAGCCCCCGGGGCCCACGCAGAGAAGGAGACAGCCCACCACCGGGGTACAGTACCTGTGGCAGCCTGTGGAGGGGGGTCGGAAGAAGCCATCAGACAAGGTCCAGCTCGGTCCAGCGGTGTGTCTGTGGAAACGAGGCAGGAGTCCAGTTAGAGGCATTTGCGGCCCAGCCCCCAGCAGCCTTGGGTACAGGGGACAGCCCCCGTGAGGGCCCAGCCTCTGCCCAGTCAATCATTAACCCAGAAACCCAGCATCTGCACGGCTGTAACCCCTGGTGGAGAGGGAACCCCGGCCACAGGCCTGCCACCAGGGCCCTGTGAGTCTCCCCATCTCCCTCCCAGCACCCAGTGAGGCCGTGGCTCCCCGATATCCAGAACCAGCCCGCATGTCCCAGACACCTGAGCCCCCCTAAGCTGTGGGGGACACCGGAGGACCCTTGCTCTCCTTCAGGCCACCTTCTCACCCCTTCAGCCCCACCAAGGGCCACCCTCTGTCCCTGTCCTGCTCCCCAGCACTGCCCCCGAGGGCCAGGGATCACAGAGGAAGGTAGGAGGGAGGGGGAAGAGGGGCAGGGTCTGCCCAGGGGTCCTTTCCCAGGACAAGAGACTACGGTCACAGCACACCAGTTCAGCTGGGGGCCCACACGGGGGTAGGAGAGCGACGCTTTTGTCACCGTGCCTCCCTGGGCTTGACACATAGACTGACCGAGGCCCCAGGCCATATCACACACACATGACCAGGGTCAGAGGAGGGCACTGAGGAGCAGCCGGTACCACCTCTGGGACTCCCCAGAAGGGTTAGGAGAGTGTCAGAGGAGCTATGACACCGTGGGAGCACCCCATGGGCCCCCAAGGACCACCAGGAGTTATTAAGGAAATGAGGGGCTGGTGACATAGTACAGCAGGGAGGGGGTTTGCCTTGCACCCAGCTGTCTTGGGAGACCCACCAGGATTGAATCCTGATCACAGAATCAGGAGTAAGCCCTGAGCACCACCACATGTGCCCCCTAAAAAAATAAAGAGAATGAAAATGGGGGACTGCAACCATAATACGGCTAATACAGAGGGTCAGGCGCTTGGTTTGCATGCGGTTGACCCGGGTCCAATCCCTGGCACTCCATATGGTCCCCCAAGCACCACCAGAGTGATCCCCGAGCACAGGGGCCAAGGGTAAGCCCTGAGTATCATCTAAGACAAGCAAACTAAAAGAAGGTGCAGGGGAAATGCTCATACATCTCCTGGAATAGCCCCTGCCACATTCGGGGGACCCCAGTGGGTCTCAGTGCTGCTGGCAGGGGACTCCTGCGACCTCTGCTAAGGGGCCCTGCTACCTGCCTACAGGTCTCCCAGTGACCACTGAGGTCAGCTGGGAAGGCTCCCGTCAGCTCCGCGATGCCCGTCCTCACCCAAAGTGAGGGGCGGCAAAGGAGACCCTGTGTCTGGATGGCACCCCGGGAGGAGATGGGAAGTGAGGGAGCCCGAGAGCCCAGGGCTTTGGTCTGGGCGAGGAGAGAGCCATGGCCCAGGACAGCCAGACCCAGCTGCAAGCTGGACAGTGCCTGGACCTCAGCGGCCAGGGCTCCTTCTCTGCCGGGGGGGCGCGGCAGCCCAGCCCAGCGCCCGGCTCCAGCCCCCCCCCCCCGCCCCCCAGAGCCAGGTCAGGGTGTGAACTAAGCAAACAGAGGAAACTTGTCATTTCCTTTTTTCTTTCCTCTACTTTCCCTCAGCCTCTGCGCGGTCAGGAAGCTTCCGAGACGGAGTCCAGGCCACAAGCAAGGAGCATGCCAGGGAGCCTCTGGAAGTAACCCCGCTCTCTGAGCCGCCATCCAAAGCCTTTCTGCAGTGTCCATCTCCCACGGGTCAGAACCTGCAGCCCCCCGCCCAGAGAGCACAGAACCACAGACACCCCGCCCCCTGACGTTTCACTGTTTTGCTTATTTGGGGAGAGGGGCTCTGGCACAGTGCTCCGGAGGCCTGGGGTCCCCACTGGCCATTCCCTGCCAACTGGGCTGCTATAGTGCATTGCCAGAACACGAAGCTGGGCTCGGGCTGGGGTGCCCGGGATGGACGGACGGGTGGTACTGAGGACCTCCGGGGCTGCACCTGCTGATGCCCAGGTTGGGTGCATGCCTGGCACTGCCCTGAGCACTGCATTGTCTCTGGCCTTATTTAGAGGCACCCAGAGCAGGGGTGGCAGAAACTCACCCAGGGCCCAGCGATGCCATGGGGTGGCCAGGTCAGGGGTGGGCTCCGTGCCTCTCTGCCAGCCAACCCTGAGTCTGGCGAGGACACAGGAGAACGGACAAGCCAGCAGCAGGCAGCAGCTACAACAAGATGCTCTGGTGGTCAGGAGGGGAAACCGAGTCCAGAGGAGGTTTGGGGACGCGCCCAAAGCACCACTGACACTCAGAGGCAGAGGTGCCCGGCAGCGCCTGGAGAGACGGCACCTGGGCTAGGAGTGTGGCAAGCACGGGACCTGCACATGTGAGACCCAGGGTTCGATCCCCAGTACCACACACGCCTGTGCAAATACAAGGGTCAGGGACACGGCTCAGGGGGCTGGGCACCGGCCCTGTGGGTAGGAGTCACACAAGTCGCACTGGGAGTCACGCACAGAGGCAGGAGAGGGGGGTCAGGGGAAGCCGGCCTCTAGGGAGAAGAGGCTGCATGCGGGCAGGAAGGGGCGGGGTGCGCACCCCAGGCAGCAAGTGAGGCCCCCAATTGGGGAAACAGCAGATCATGGCATGTCCAAGCTGGGCAGCCTCAACGGAGACTAGCAGGGCCACCCCCAGGAGCAGGCGAGGGCCCAGGCACCTGCGTCTGAGGCACCCAGCCGCTGCCTCCTGGAAGCCAGGGGAAATGCAGAGAGCAAGGCCAGAGGCGGAGCAGGGAGGCACGGGGGAGCCCTCGCTGGGGTTGGGCCGCCTACATCTCTGGCCCCTGGCCCTCGTCACACATGCTCCTGGCCAGCCAGGGACGCTGCAAACACACCTCGGACTCGCCTCTCAGCCTCCTGGACGAGGTCCAGGCCCCAGGCAGGCCCTCAATGGCCGGCCGGCCCCGCCTCCCTCTCTGTGCTCTATCCAGCCCGGCCACCGACACTGCTCCAGGGGCCCCTGACCTTCACGGACCCTTGGATGCCAGTGACTCGTTCCCTGGAGGAAGAATTCCTGCGCACCGCCTGCAGACTCCTACACGGGCTTCAGAACCAAGACCCAGTTACACCCAGTTACGGTACAAGTACGGGCAGAGGAGACCAAGAGCTCCCAGACAATGCACATGTCCCGGGCCCAGGACTCAGAGGTCCAGGCAGGAAGCATCCATGTTTCACACCCCCCAGAGCCCCCCACCCAGGCACCATCTCCCTGGTGACCACCAGGCGCCCAAGTGTCCAGAACTCAGATCACGAGAGTGCCCAGTCAGAGGCCCGCAATGGGGATGAACCACAGCCCAACCCACTTTTGCCCCCAGCCTTTCAGGGACAGAGACTGGGGTGTCTTCACCTCTGGGGCTGGCTCGGGGCTTCCTGACCAACAGGAAGAGGGGCACAGGGCATGGGGTACATGGAAAACTCAGTGGGCCCCAGTATCCTCGGCCACGTCCAGCAAGACCAGAGCCCAGGAGGAAGGAGAGGAGACACCAGCCAGAGGGTGGACCAGCTGAGCAGAGGGACCCAGAGGACAGCAGACCCAGCAAAGGGAGTTGGGAGCCCTCAGCATGGGATGTGCGTTCCTGGGACTAGGGACAACAGAAGGAGGCTCCTGCCAGGAAGGGGTGGGCAACCGGATCCCAGAAAGAGTATGGAGAGGCTGAGATGGCCACTCGAGAGCAGTGAGACTCTGGAGGCAGCCCACCTGCTTGGACAACACCCTGTCCTCTCTGTCACGTGCAGACATGCATGACACTATACTGGCAGTTCCGGGGCCCTCGCCACCAGAGTCTCCACTGCTCCCAGAGGATGGGCCCTATTCCATACACTGCTACACCAAGTGCTGTGACTGGCCCTCGGGGGTTGAGGCGGGGTGGGTGAGGGCATCATCCTTGGTACCTTGGAGACCTCCCAAGTCTTGTCCTCAAAACAGTCCGAGAGCTGCCATCTCCTGAGTCCTACAGAGCTCAGGGTCTGTGGCACATGGAAGAGCTGGACTGAGGGACACCTTCTAGACCACTGAGCAGGCTGGATCACAGAGATCCCAGCACAGAGTTCCCCCTGCCACGGGACCCTCGGACCAGTGCTCGTATCCCCACTAGGTGAGGCCGGAGAGATGGGCCAGAGGGTAGGGCACTTGCCATGCATGCCATTTTGCCCAGCACAATCCTCACATCCCAGAAGACCCCTCAAGTCCTGCCAGGTGTGGCCCAGACCCCCATCCCCATAAGGAACACGATTTAAGAGCCAGAGAGAGATGGCAGGGATTAAGGCACTTGCCTTGCACATGACCAAGCCTGGTTTGAGTATCCCCTATGGTCCCCAAGCACTGCCGGGAATGATTTCTGAGCACAGAATCAGGAAGGATTCCTAAGCACCTCTGAGTATGGCCCAACATCCCTCCGGAGAAAAGTAACAGGTGAGTTGGGCGACATCCACCCAGGGCTTCCCTAGACCCGAGGGAGCCTCCAAACAGGCATTCCGGGTCCCACGCCAGACACTGGCTGGGTTTCCGGGGAGGCGGGCAGAGACTGAAGCTGTGAGCGGGCTGAGGCTTGAAGGACTAAAGCCTCAGACAATGGGGCTCTGTCCACACCCAGAGCGGATGTGACCTTCTCCCCATTGACCTCTGACGTCCGCCTAGATCCACGATAGCCGGACAGGGCAAGGGGGAGCTGACGGGACAGTGTGGAGAGTTGGGGGAGGGGCATATCTCTGGACAGAAACACCAGCTGGGAGGGGAGGGGGGCTCTCCAGGCTGGCCCAGGCCCCTCCTCACAGTCCCAGACACTTACTCCCCAGAGACCCAGCACTGCAGGAGGCCCGGTCTGCAGGCTGGACTGGGGGGCCTTGACCCCGGAGCTCCTAGACTCTCCGCCATGTCCTGCTGGGACCCTTAGTTGCCCACTCTGGGGGCTGGGAAGAGACCACACTGACCCCACTCGGTCTCATCACTTTCCTGAGCCTCAGTTTACC